GTGCTAAGACTTGCAAATCCCAAGTTAAACAGGACAGCTTTTCTTGGCTGGAAGAGGATCATGACGAGGCGGAAGCATAGGATGCATAGGATCCAGCAGCAAGTGCAGCGATGAATGCTCGGCAAATTTTTCTTCCTAGAAGCCGATGGCTGGATAGATTTTGTGGCCAGAAGTGCCATTTGGAAAACTGTGCTCAGCGATTGAGTGTGAGTTGATGCTTGTTGACCTTTCTAGTTCGGGCAGAGACTCACGTGGAAACAAAAGCAAGCTGAACGTGCCCACTTGTGGTCCAAGGGTTTTGACAGTTGACCCAACCGTGCAGTGAGAATACATGCAAGGTGTGCGGGTCTCCAAACACTGGAGCTTCCATCGCAGGATTGTCAGATTGTGCGCTTTCTGGACTTTGGACTGGCAATTCTCTTTCCTGATCTTTGCCGTGGCTTGCTATTTGCAAGTTGCAAGCCAGGATCCGACGAAGGAAGCCGCCCACACTTAGAGAAAGTGTGACAGCCCTGCAAAGCCTGCAAACGCAGGTCGTTGCAGGATACAGTGTTGTCAAGCAACACAGTGCAATGTTGCGGTCAGCATCCGTCCTTGCCACCGGAGCCGATTGCATGCAAGCTTCATGATGATGCGCCGCAATGCGCCGCACGCTTTTGGCTCTTCTAAGTCTGTACAGTGTGGTTTGTCTGTCACAGTGGGGGTGAGGGGGGTGTAGCAGGGGGGCCTGGCCACCAGTCATGCCCTGAACTGGTCTGGTATGCCACATGTGCGAGGCTTGAGTCAGACAGGGCTTGGTTTATGGCGAAGCTCAGGCCATGAAGCTCAAGCGCTTCCTTCTGAGATATTTCCCTCCTGGAATTGTGGCAAGCTCGGGTCGCCAAGGAGCACCAATCTGCAGACACAGCTGCAAGACTTGACTAAGGTCCTTGAGTACCAGCGAAGAAACGGAGATGTTGAGACAAAGGCCATGGCACCACCCTTACATGCAAGTCCAGAACTCAACATGTTGTCTGAGTCAATCGACCTTCTGAACCTCACACCGGAGACGGACGTGGAGGTGCCGCTGCTACTGCTGCACCGTTCTAGGAGTTGCCTATGAGTTGCCTGAGTTGCCTGTGAGTTGCCTGTGAGTTGCCTGTCCTGTGCACACTGTTTGCTGCATGGAAACTGGATTGAGGTTCTCATCAACCAGATAGTCTTCGAGGAGCCGTTGATTTCTGAAAACAAGAAGGCCGCAGGGAAACGTGTGGAGAGCGTCTATATCTTTCAAAAGACACACAGAGAAGTCGGAATGACCTCAAATCCTGGCACAGGACACTCTTCGAAAGATGATTTACAAGCTCATAGAAAAGATTGACAACAAGGTGAGCCACGAGAGTATGGTTCCATGCCGTTCTTCTGAAGCCCCAGCACATATTGCAGGACTCACAGCGGTTCTACCTTTTCAAGATTCTCCGAGCACACATTCTGCCCTTGACGAACTGTGCCTTCAACAAGTGCTTTGACAATAAAAAGTTCGATAGATGTCGGGATCGCCCCGAGAGATCCCGCGCCCAAATGAAATTCTCCTGATGTGCTCTGTCAGTCGTCATTGAGTCGTCATTAAGTCGCATCAGGGGCGTTCGGTGCGCTGCGCCCTCTGGGCCCTCCAAGGTCTGGCTCGAAGTTCATCACCGGCTCCTATGACCGAACGTGCAGAGTTTGGGATACACTTGCCCAGACCTCACATTCTCTTAAGTTCTGTATGGTTCAGTTCTGACTGGCTTGCAGAAAAAGTTACGTGCTCTGACAACTCAGAGCGGTGAAGAGCTCTTGACGCTTGACGGCCACAAGTACCTTGTCTGCAAGACTCCACTAGTTTGATTGTCTTTGCTCCGGTGCTCAACTTGCAGGAACGTGGTGTATGCCATTGCCTTCAACAATCCCTTTGGTGACAAAGTGGCGCTGGCACGCTTTGTTTGTCCGTGGCGGAGCGCATCGGATGCAGCGTCATGTGCTTCGTGGAACTCGAGCAAGAGACAAAAACAAGCCAAATGCATCAAAGTGCATCAAAATGCCAGATCGTCACCGGCAGCTTTGACAAGACCGCAAAGCTCTGGGATGCCAACACTGGGCAGTCCGGAAGCCAGTTTGATGCGTTTCTGGTGCTGGAAGACTCAGTGACTCAGTTGGCCGGCCAGCGAGGTGCATTCACACCCTCAAGGGCCACCACACGGAGATTGTCTGTGTTGCCTTCAATGTACAGGAGCCTTGGAGCCAGCCTTGGAGCCTTGCACGGTTAAAGTAATGGTTCAGCAGACCACAGCATCCCTGGCCACAGGGCACGCACGTTGCAACCGGCAGCATGGACAACACAGCGAAGCTGTGGGACGTTATTGGCTTAGTGTGATTTAGTGTGAAGATACTGCGAAGGTCTGGTAACACTTATCCGCATGTGCGACACTGCGACCGCCTCGTGCGTCCTGCAGCGAGGAGGAGGGCAACTCGCTTTTTGCGCAACGAACTTGCCGAGGTGGAAACTGGTCACCAGATAGCATCCCTGGAGGGCCATTCTGCCCGATGCTAGGACGTTTCATGGTTTCATGCCAAGTCCATGAGTCACTCGAGACTGCCCGTGACTATGTAATATGATATGTAGTGCCTACTCCAAAGCATCCCAGGCCGAGATAGTTTCACTGAATTTCAACACCGATGGGGACAAGATTCTCACCGGGTCGTTTGACAACACAGCAAAGGCCGCGCTGAAATCACAACATGTTCAAGCATTGTTCTGAGAGAGGCCTCCAATTTGATCATGTGTTGCCTTGAACACTGGCGATTTTCGGCATTCGCCAGGTTTGGGATGTGCGGAGGCAGACGAGATTTGAAAGTCTCTGACAATTTTTCTCACTTCAGCTCGTGGTTCGATTTCATTTCGCCTCCGCTTCCCTCACTTCCCTGGCCAGTGGGCGATGTGTGCACACTCTTGCCGGCCATCGTGGAGAGATCTCCTCCACGCAGGCCTGCAGTTTCCTTGCATCTTTCTGCAGCTTTCACAAAAAGGGTTGGCCATTGTCCCTCTGCTCAGTTTGATTTCACCGGAGATTACTGCATCACTGGAAGTATAGCCTGGACCATAGCTGCTCATGCAACGCCTGGCATGGCTTGCCCAAGGAGTGTTGTCTGAGGACCGTACTTGCAAGCTCTGGGACGTAAACAACGGGCAGTGCATGGAGACCATGCGAGGCCATTCAGATGAGGCACCCGTTCACCTCGCGTGGCGTTGGAGGGACCGATTGGTGTCAAACATGCTCCGCAGGTGTTGGATGTGTGCTTTAACACAACTGGCAATCGTGGCCTGCCCAGAGATCCAGCAGTCCAACTTGTCAGCGGTTTCAGTATGGTGCAATATGGTGCAATATGGTGCATTCTGATGATGGCAGTGAATAGCATTAGCAGCAGTCTAGCAGCACTAGCAGATACCTTCGAGGCCTCGTCACTGCCTCCGCAGATTGCACAGCTCGAGTGTACAATGCTTGAGCCCCGAGTGGGAGCTGCACCTTGCATTCTGAGACATTGTGAGACATGCATCAACACCCGCAGCAAAGCTGGCTGAAGGTCATGACCGGTGCCTGCATATCTATTTTGATAGGCCATGAGGGCGAGATCTCCAAGGTGCCGCAGCCCATCGCAACCCTTGCAACTGTGATTTCGCTTTCAGAGTATCTCAGATTTCCAGGTTCAGTTCAGTCCGAATGGCTATAAGATCATAACAGCATCCAGTGTGCCAAGCTCAGTGCTCATCAGTCGGGCAACGTTTTTCGACGTTTGCTTTGTACAGCTGTTCGGTCCCTATCAGGACCGCACATGCCGCTTATGGTCTGTGGAGACTGGCGAGTGCCTGCAGGTCGGTTCTTGATCCTTGTTTACCCCAATGCGGGGGCGTTTTCAAGTGTCTGAATCTGCCAAGGTCTTGGAAGGACACAGTGATGAAATCTTCTCGTGCGCTTTCAACTACGAAGGCGACACGGTCATCACTGGGTCCAAGGACACGTCGGGTGCAGCGTGGTCTTTCCTCCCGGATGCCGTTTGTTTGCGGCAGCCGTCGCGCCAGGACAACACCTGCAGAATTTGGAAGGACAACTTTTTCACTCCCGCCGATGAGGATGACCAGTGGCTTGGCAAGTGTTGTAAGCCACTTTTTGACCCGACTGTGAACTATTCGCAGTTCTCGACCTCAATGAAGTGCCCCTTCCACTGCTCATGATACTCGTGAGGTATGATCGCTATGAAGACTGATGCCTCTGAGCTTGTGGGCTTGCCGTGGGCTTGCCATGGACGGTCAGTTGCCTGGCCGCACGGGGCAGAGCCAGTCACTGTTTTCCTTTGTCGAGTTTTGCTTTGACGAGGAGCTTGCCATAGGGAATCCATAGCATGTTGTCAACTTAGGCTGGACCGATGGCAGGTGGCGCGGTCGTGGCATTGGAGACACTGCGTGCTCCCTTGGGTGTCGCATGGAAACTGCCGGTCGCACGGCCCAGAAGCGGCCCAGCGAGAAGGGCCTGGAAGTGCATGGAAAAGAGTGCATGGAAAAACAGCAACGTGTGACCTTGGAGAGCCGGATCCCTCTCTCTCTCTGTCTTTCGCTCTCTTTGTCTCTCTCTCTCTTGCCCTCTCTCTCTTTCGCTCTCGCTCTCTCTCCCTCTCTCTCTGGCTCTCTGTTTCCCTTAGGAGAGTCTCTTCCTCCTTTTCTCTTTGGGTTTCTTCCTCTGTTTCCTATCTCTCTCTCTCTCTCTCTCTCTGTCTCCTTCTTTCTCTGCCTCTCTCTCTCAATGCATACAAATGGTATATGGTAAAGAATAAGGTGGCAAACGAGGCCCTTTCAAACTTCCACTCTTGAATCCACATCTCGGCGCCTGCCATGAGCTTGCACAACACTAGTGCCAGCGGATTTGAAACGCGCGAATTCGGGACACTCCGAGGTCAATGAGTCAACACCATTGTTGTTGCTGGGACGCCTTTGCCGCGAAAGCTTGCGTTGCTCCTGCAATGGGGAGAAACGAGACACCACACACGTGTGACCTGCCTTGACGATTGCAGAGGGTGCCGGTGAAGGTTGCAACACTTTTCTGACAACATCTCCTGGCCCAAAGTAGTTGCTGAGTGGGTGAGCAGGAATTCATCTGGAGAACAACACGCACAACACAAGCTTCGCAGCAAAGGATTACAAAATAGAAGCAACTCTGACAGCACTCCGCTCCTAGCCTCGCACTTAGATGCAGAGACGAATGCTGCCAAGTCCGTTGCCGCTTGCCTTTTGAGAGCTTTCTCAGGTAATGAACGCAAAGGCAGAGGCCTGAGACAAAGAAAAGCTGGCAGATGCAGTCATGCAGTCACCATGTGTTGTCCATCCCTCTGCTCGCACACAGAGACATAGACCATCATAGACCTGTCGGCAAAGATGTTGAGTTTCAAGTTTCGAGCAGCTGTTGGATGGAAGACCGTTTGCAGAGTGTGCCGAATCCTAAGCCCAGGAACCTGTACTGATTTGCAACCTGCCGAAGGAGACAGAAGTCAGCATGCCACAAGGGTCTATTTTCATCTGCTCCGTTCCTGTGCTGCAATTCTGGTGTACGTGCTACTTCGTCAAGAGGCCCCAACAAAGTGCTGAAACCAAATGGGCCCCGCATTTTCCAGATCTGAGTACGAAACGCAGGATGGAGGCAGTTTTTGCTTCATCGCCGCCCCACCCCCTTTCCATTTTATTTCAGTTTTATTTCAGTTTGAACATCTCAAGGAGGCCTGCTGAATTGCTCATTCACGCATGTTCACGCGGTCAAGAGAGCTTGGAGAAGACGTCAGCGGGCAAAACTGCGTTTTTCTCGCCTCCGTAACATAACGAGAGAGCAAGTTGCCGTGTCCCTTTGGACAGGTTGAACATGATCCCACGGCTGCGACCTGAACTTGGCGCGCCCTTTTGCCTTGCTTCAGCGGAAGTTGCAGAGGTCCGGACGTTTACCAACTGGCTGGCCGAGATGAAGGCGCTGCATCGGCCCAGTGGCATCTGCAGCAGTTTTGGGGGGGCAGATGTGGGGACAGATTTGCAGGTCCAAAACAATCGGACGGTCCAAGAGATCCTCTCCGAGACGTGCGGGGCTTGGCAACCTTGGAGCACGTTTTGTAATCTGAGTAATCTGCTCGAGGTCCATTATCCGCGACAGCATCACGGCAAACAACATGGAGCTAACCGACTTCAAGCGTCATTCGAGTAGCGCGCGGCCCAAGACGGGTGCACTGCATGTGTTGTGTAGTTTTGTGGTGCGGGCATGCTTGCATACTGGGGATGGGTTCGAAGGCATTTCTCAGCAGATGCAGTGGCCCTCTCAGCTGCGACTCGTTATTCACCAAAGTTTGCTCAATGGCTGCGCAATCCCCCAGGTCTCAGCTGACAGACCTGCGAGAAAAGCTTACAAGTGCCTTTGGGGAGATCACGGCGTTAGTGAAGCAAAAGCTGCGGGCTCAGCTCGACACTAAGGTACTAAGGAAGCAACAGCTCAACCGGTGCCGTGTAGTGACTGTAGTGCTTGTGTTCCCACATCCACGACATGGAGCCACGGTATGGTGCTACTGGGGATGCCAGTCACAGCAGACTTGCTTCTTTAGAGAGCTCTTGTGTATGCCCAGTTTGCTTGGCTTTGGAATCACTCCTGCGCAGAACACAGTCCGACTCAGAGATGATGCAGGACTGCTACTGATGTCCGGTTCTCCGCTTGAGCTGATGTGATAGTATGGAGTTGGTGGGGTAGGTAGGCGTGTGGTTTGTGTCATGGGCGGAGTCCGAAAGCTTCTAGCTAGGTATCAGGATGGATGGGATGAGGCATGCGGTGTGCCTGCCAAGTGATCTGGGTGTCGAAGATGCGGCACATTCTAGTGTTCTAGTGTGTTTCAACTTGCAAAGTTGTGGAAGCTCACCTTGCTGTCCGGCACATGCAAGGCCACCCTCACGAGCATCCGCCACGTTCAAACTTCCTTAGAGTTAGGGCATGTTGGGTCACCGGGTTGACACGTGAAGCCACAGTTCCGTCTGCGTGCGTGGGTGCATGAGTGTGCGTGCGTGCTGCTTGTGGGTTTGCCGTACATGCCTGCGAGCGTGTGTGCATGTAAACAGTTTCATTTGGAAGGACGTCAATACCCTGCAGCAGAACCTCTCGCAGAAGACCTACGAGCTTGAAGCCCTCAAAAAGTCATATTCACAGGCCCTCTGGCTGGTTGAGGGATGTCGGCTGACGCCGATGTTTGTTGTTTAGTGTGGTGTTTCACTGCATGCTTTTTGGCGGCATGTGTGCGACGCATCCAAGTCAGCATTATCAAACTGTTCTGGTGTACGGACGGCACCCGATGCGACTCGGTGGATGTCTTTGTTGCTTGCGCCCGTTGCAGAGAAACAAACACGATTCGTTGCAGGATTCCTTGAGATGTTCCAAGTAAGATCCTCCAACTACTCACATGGAACTTTTCCCCAACCACAACTAGGCCGGCCGAGAAACATACACGCCGCCCGCCACCGAACTGACATTGAGGATCGTTTATGTTTCAACTTGACCTCATCCACTTGTCTGAACTCAGCTGGTCTTGGTTAGCGGAATAGATTGGAAAGATTGGATTTCCAGAAGTGTTCTGCATTGACAGAACCCCTAAGCTGACCTGAATGAACATCCACCTTCAGACTGGTGGATTCGCGTGCGATTTCGGGATGCGTTCGCCACCGTGACAGGGACCCTGTGGTGTGCAGTTTGTTCTTGAACACTTCTCATCCGAACTGGCACCGACAATTTAGCCTGTCTGAAATCAGTGTTGGCGATGGCAAGGAGACACGATGCTAGCTGTGCTGCTGAGAATGTTGCTGCCAGATCACCAAATTGTATGAGCCGTTGCCAGGCGCACCAGCATTTGCAGAGCTCCCTCATCCAGATGCAGTCTGACTCTTGACATCGGGCCGTTATGTCTCACCATATTGGCCCTCTTGCCATTCCTTGAGGAACCACTTGCAGGTCACGCAGAACGAGGACTGAACACCCTCTCAAAATGTCTGCCATGGCACGTGCATGGACGCTGCTTCTCCCGGCAGGTGAGCACGGCCAAGTCTTCTTGTGAGCGTGTGCCTCTTCTGCAGCTGTTTTGAAGGGGATGTCAGCGCAGCCGGATCCAAGAGTGGATGCAGACTGAAACCCTGGCAGAACTCGTGTTCAGCAACGCAAGGCAAAATGTTCACAGAGGGTTTTTGTGGCTGAGGGATTCCCCAAATGTTTTCACCTGCTGGACCGCAAGTGGCATCGGATTGCGGCTCTCCAGGTCCCACAGAACCGGGGGGGGGGGGGGGTTGGGGAGCCGGGCGGGGTGGGCCACAAATTTTGGGCGGGCAAAAAGGGAAGGGAAGGAGGGGGCCGAGGCGCAGGCGTGTCTCTCACCTCGTGTGTTTGCCGCCTACCAAAGTTGTGTCATACCAACAGCTCTTGTCCGTAACCCTCCCCCATGCCCTCATCCGTTGACATCCTATCCGCTTCTTCCCGGCACGCTCGAGAACTCTCCATGTTGAACCTGGTCGTGGCAGCAATCCTGCAAGCTTTTTTGCCTCAGACGCCACACCTGCAGCCCCTTTTTCTTAAAGCTCATTGGCGCTTCTCTGATCCCCCCCTTTCTCCACACACGCATGCAATCCCGACTGAACACCGACCACTAAAATGCCACTAGTCACTAGTGCCACAATGAGAGTCGTGCTGAAGGCCACGAAAAGCTGAGTTTTTTAATTTGGGAGAGCACTCTACTTCTCACCTTCAGGTGCAGCGGGAAAGTACGCAGCGCTTCTCGCAGCTGGAGTCCAACCTGAAGTCAATGACGGACTGGCACTGTATTTGGACTGACTGTACACATCGCGCAACAAACGTCGGTAGAACATTCGGAACCCATGCTGAAGCTGCTGAAGAGGAGGAGTACAGCCGCGGGACCGGGGAGGTTCGAAACCAGATGCGGCAGCACCTTGGATGCGATGGCACGAGGTGACGATGTGCGTCTCACAGAAGCTAGCGGATGGCGGCTTTCAGTGGCTTCTGCAGCATGCTACCATGTTTCATGCCACGGAAAACTACAAATCTACGGAATTGAGAGTCCGGCAAGATCGTGCCTTGCTCATAAGAGGTAAGATGGTGTCTGTTGGGGCTCCTAGAATGGCCTACAAGTGTGTACGGGAAGCGACGGCAGTTCCAAAAGCTCTTAAAGTCTTAGAGCCTAGAAGGATCCAGAAGGATCCTGCAATCTCACAGCTTTAACAGACTCGGACTTTGCAATGGCGGAAGCGGAAGAAGCGGATGCGAGCGCTTCGCCTCCGAAGGCAGCCCAGGCCTCCCTGTGATCGGAACATGTCAAGCCCCTTTCCCCTTACTTTTGTGTGCCACTTTTGCCACTTTTTGCCTCTTCTGCCTCTTCTGCCACTTTGTTGCCTCTTCTGCCTCTTCTGCCTTCCTCGGAATTCATCCTTTTCAAGAGCATCATGGAGCACTTGCAGAAGTAGAAGTAGAGATCAGACTCAAGAAGCCTTAGAGGCTCGGCGCCCGGAGTCCTGGAGGGAGTGGCCCCGTGGCTCAACGTACTCACCATGATATGTCGAACATGGCGAATTTAGGATGAGGAACATCAGTGGCGCCTCTTCACCCGAGGTCTGGACGTGAAGAGGGCCAGGATCGGTACAAGTCCAGCGCCCGGAATGAAGAGAAGCTGCGAGATGAGTGTAGTGTGCATGAGATCACTCCATCTCAGACCTTGCATCTTGAAGCACTCAGGTTCGGAGATTTGTCCCGGGGTGTTCTTCAGCACGTGCAGGCACTTTCATATGAACCGACCGTTTGAAGTGGGTGGTTGTTGGTGAGTGTATGTAGGGCCCACTATAAGTAAGTGTTGGTGACTGTCTTTGTCTGGGGTGTCCTTTCGGGGATGCTGGTAATGAAGAGCTCTCCTCCAAGCCGGCAGTTGTGGGCGTTCTGTGCGTTTCTGCATTCCGCGCGCTTCTGTTTTGCACCTAACAAGGCTGGCATGCGGGACTTGAGGCACAAAGTGGCTGACACAGCTTTGTCAATCAAGGAGCACTGCACCAATGTGACAGAATTGAGCACATCTGAGCTGGAGCTGTGGCAAAGAAAGACTCCGTATCCAGGAGAACCACGAAAGCCGCGCTGTGGAGTACGTCCGCGAGATGGTGGTTGCTAGGATATCGCTTAACGTGGAGTCTTCGTACCTTTCGGGGGATGTCGTGCTGTAAAGTAAATCTGCTTGGATAAGGCTACAGATGAAGAGGTGCAAGACATGGCACAAAGCACCTTGGACGACGCCTCCAAAGCAGCTACCAGTGCAGCGCGGTTTTGGACAGCCCTTTGCAAGGACGGCTCGCCGACGAGTAGGATTAAATAGGATGCGCACACGTGTTCGAACGATTCAAACACGTGTGCAAACACGTGTGCACGGCATCACGACTTCCAGGATGCCCACACCGAGCACTCCGATGAAAAGACGATGGAAGCGGTTGGAGACGCTGGCAACGCTGGCAACGTTGGCAGCTGCGGGACATTGCAGGTCGAGGCACAGAGTGGGACCCCAGAGCGAAGCGGTGGGGTATGTGGTGGTACAAGTGGTGGTTACAGCGAAGGGAAGTGTATCGTGTGAAGGAAGAGGCAATTCAGGAAATGCAGACTGGTTCAGGCTAGCTTCACATATGTGAGGAGTGCATAGAGAGAGGTTGTGAGAGGTGCTTTCCCTTGGCTCCGCGCAGCAGCCGCTCCTGAAGGTGGATGGGCCCCTCGGAGACTGAAAGATTTGGGGACTTCATCATATCATTCTTACCGCCCCGTAATATTAATTTTAATTGGTCCTTTATCTATTAAGGGGGCAAATATAACATATATTTATTAAGGCCCCCCGCAGATTTTCATTCTATTCTTATTATCTTGTGTCTGGATTTATTAATTTGTAAAGCCCCTAAGACACACAGTCATATTCTCATGCACTGGTTTCGATTGTACTTTCTTTTCCTTGATTATTTCGTGAATAGACTTCTTTTGCTTCCTGATAATTTCATTATTAGGGGGTTTCTACAGATTATTAGAAAGAAGCTGAAAGAAAAGCGAATTTAATTTACAAATCTCCAAATAAGGGCAAATGAGCATATTAAAATTCTACTCATTAATTGGCCCTTTACAGGATACGTCTTTACAATTACAATTTCGTATTCTCCGGAATGATTATTTGGATGTAGAAAAAGCCCTAAAAAAATATTGTATGTGAAATGCATGAAATTACAATATTAAATTCAATCATCGCGATGAGGGCGGTGCCTATGGGTTTCTGTTGTTTCTGTTCGGGGTGCAGGGCATCAGGGAGGTGGACGGTGGACGCCCTGATTTCTCTGAAACCGGGATGCTGTTCTAAGTCTGAGGAAAGCCGCCGCAAAGCCGGTGCTACTTCTGAGCCTCCACGGCCGCCGCAGTGGAGCCCTGCGCACTGGTGGCTGCAGCGTTGCGACCTTCCAGGTTCACGCAGCAAACGATTGCTTTCGTGCAGAGTGGCCCTCAGTGAAACCCTCAGAAGTTCAGAGAGGCCTCCCGACAATTTCCTCCAAGGTACCATGGGCAAACCAAATCAAAGCCGTGCTCTAGCTCGTTAAAGGGAAGCGGGAGCAGAACAAGCCATGTGTCTTCTTGTGTGGCTTCTTAGTGCCGATTCTCTGTGGCTTGTTGTGTCTTCTTCTGTCTTTCAAAATCGTCTCTCCAACGACCACCTGTCCAAAGAGAACTGCTGTCGCCGGTACGATACTCCAGAAGGAACAAGTGTGACGTCAATCAAGTGTGTGCTTTTGGTATGTTCATGCGTTTCGTCAAAACGACACCCCAGGTAGACACGGTCGACTGAAGGTCGGCCGAGGCAAACGAGGGAAGGGCACTCTGGTAGAGATACGCAGGTGATGGATGTGCTGGGCTCTGATCTGGCGGTCTACTCCTTTGACAGGCTGTTCGCATGTTTTCACCGCAACATGTTCCTCAATATTTCATGCTGGCGTGGTAAAGAAGTGTAAGCTCTGATGCCTTCTGCTGTCGTTGGTTCCGAGTTCCGCGAGGGGCAGCTCCAAGTTCGCCATCGGAATGGAAGGCCAAGCGTTCTGTGGTGGTTGCTTCGTGCCATTGACGGCGTGCCTGGGATGAAGTCGTGTGAACTCGTGAAAGTCTAATTTGCCAGTAGTCAAAGGAGTTCCTCTCGAGTAACATTGAGGGTGTCAACGACAGCCCGGAAAAGGGGGCGATGTCTAGAAAGAGGGGAGGGAGTAGTACGTTGCGATAAGTCCAGAATTTCGTGGTAATCGCAGTGGAGTCTAGAGTTTTCGACTGTATGGCGTAACAGGGGTGCAGGTCGCAGAAGCGTGACGCATCAAATGAGTCCGGGCTTTGGTGCGGCTTTGTCAGGCTGTCGGAGGGTAGGGATGTGTAGCGATGTCTAGGGTTTAGGGCGAGTGTGGACCAAACAGGCGTAATTGGGTGTTTTTTGCTTTGTGTGGGCCAGGCTGGGTCGGCGGATAGTTGAGACGGAGGGTATCGGACCAAATTGGCCCTGACTTGACTTCATGCAGAGCTACTTCTCTCAGCATTCGCAGAGGTAGGTTCCAGAGTCAAAGCTGACAACAGGCACAAGACGTCCTCCACCATTTTGTGCGAGTATGTTTTGTCTCGACCGATTTTTTCGACTTCGTAAAATTGTAAGTAAGGCAAAACGCAAGCAACGGCTCTTTAAGCGAATTTGTAGGATACAGTATTGTTTGTCATTATTAATATGCTGTTATCTAGAAAACATGAGCAACATGAAGACTGTACGACAACTTTGCATTAATAAACTCAGTGGTCCACTAAGTGAACTCGTCTGACATATTGTTGTTTGTATAGTAGTGAAGCAAGCAAAGAAGAACAAAGCACAGATCAACTCAACGGTGCTTGTTGATTAAACTGAAGGGCTGAGATTTGTAAGCACTTTGGATTGGTTCGCATTTGGTTGACATCACCGAAGTGTTTGCGTCAATGCTTCTCTTGCTTTGACAAAGCCTTCGAGCGACTTTGGGGCGACTGAGGCTGACGCAGGTGGAGGCCCGACCTTTCTTGGCCGACGTGCGCAGTAGCTTGTACCAGCAGGTGTGGCTCGGTGCACTTAGAGTTCCCTCAGTTTGTAGGTTGGGGTATCCGAGTCTAGATTTGCTGGTTTTTGAGGTTCAGCACGGAGCTTCGGCTGCGCTTGCTGCCGCTCCCGCTGATACAAAGCAAAGAGAAGCTGGAGCCTTCGGACCTCACCGGCGCCAAACTTCCCGAGGCGACAAAAAAAGGGAAGAAGAAAGGAAGAAGAAGCGAAGAACGACGACTGAACAGCATCGATAAAGACGTTTCAAGCTCACTGAACAACTGTCAAGAAAGCATCACGCAAGTCTTCATGGGCCCTCAGCAATGTCCCGGCCTAGAGCATGTCTGACATCAAGTTGCTTGCATGTCGGCGAGCTGCTCGCATGTTGCTCACATGTTGCTACTGACATTGTTTCAGGTGCAGTTTGGCTTCGTGGTGTTGCGACTGACGCTGCGCCTCACGAGCGCCCCAGCCGCGCTGTGCTTCCGTCCCTGCAGCTCCCGAAAGCCCGTCATGACAGAGCAGAAAGGCTGGACCGACTTACGTTGTTTAGTCACATCATTGCGCATTCTGCAGATGTTGTCTGTAGCATTTCTTTCGCCAGCGTTATCGACTCTTCCTGTGGATCAACCGCGTTGAGCCATGCCCAGTGAACCACCTTGTCTCGTCAAATGGAAAGTCCAGCAAAAAGGCTGAGCTTGTTTATGGCTTCAACGGTTCACGCGCACCGAGAGACCGACCACGGAGTGTAGCTCGCATTTCAAAAACATCGGCCCTGCCATCGTTTTCATTGCTTGTCACTTTCCACTGTCGTGCAAGGCCGAAAGTCTCGATTTCTGCAGTGTTTCCACTTCCGCTTGCGCCGACACTCTGCATTCTGTATCTGGCCGTGCTTGTGACGTTTCTGATGCAATGCACCCAAGTTCCCGTGGCAGACCGCAGCAACCATGCCTGCACGACCGGAATTGATTTCCTTGACGGTTCCCTGTGAGAAAGCGTCGGCCTTCGGGGCTATGGCTCTTTATGGCTTTCTATGGCTTTCTATGGCTTTCTATGGCTTTCTATGGCTTTCTATGGCTTTCTATGGCTTTCTATGACTTTCTATGGCTTTCTATGGCTTTCTGGTCAGAATCTGAGGCTCCCGTGACTCCCGCACCTTTGCAACCATACATTCGTTCATTGCCCTTTGGGCTGTACTTGTCATGGTTTAGCGGATGTGGACTTATGGGTTTGGAGCTTTACGAGAACATGCGGAAGCAATGAAAAACCCTAGAATTCCCGTCTGTGAACAATGATAGTGAAGGACCCCTTTGCCCTACTCTTTGCCTTCTTTTCTGCTCCTTTCTTCCTTGCTTGCTGGCCCGGCCTTTTGGCTTTGGGGTCTTGAGCTCAAGTTAGAGCTGAGAAAGGGCGCTCGCTTGGTCACAAGATACGACGTTTTGTTTAGGGGAAGAGCGCAACAATGCAGCTGCGGGCAAGCAGCCGACAAAGAAGGAAGAAGGGTCTTCACACACCGCAGGCCTCAGGGCCTCCTTCAAAGTCCTCTGCCTACACAGGCCATGCGTTCTCACAGAATTCATTGTTCAGATCAGTGGGCCTACAGGTACTTCAGAAGGTGAAGCTTGATTGTGCAGCAGTCGGGATAGGATATTGGAGAAACGGCTCCAGTCGACATGTTTCCGCATCAAATCGCATGGCTTGCATGGCCGCCTTGTCCCCCTTGCGAGGGCACGTGAGCGATCCTTTCAGTGTCCTGAAAGCTGCTGGCATGGCTGTTGGCCGAATCACCTTCGCTTTGAAGATGGACTTGTGGAAGGCCTGCCGCAGAGGTGTTAGACAGCACGCCTCATGTCTAAAATGAAAAGAGCGAGGCCTTCGCAGCCTTAGGAGGAACACTAAACGCCTGGAAGAACCTCGGTACCACCATCTCCTATATACCATCAGATGTCTCCGTAACAAGCTGGCTCTCATCTCAGCAGCAGCAGTGGCAACGAGGATTCAAAGTCACTGAGCCGCTTCTTCAGGCAGCTGCCGACGAAATGCGCGAAGACCTTCTTGTCTGTCCCCTGCTATTTGCTTGGTGGTCACTTCTGGTGCTAGCAGCACCTTTATGGACCTGCGCTTCCAATTTGGGAGAAGTTTTGGTTTAGCTGCATATGCCAGTTGAATGTGATGACCATGCTGTTATGTAGCAGCAAAGGACTTGGCCACTTCTGTTGAACCTTGCGTTGGGCTTGTTTGCGTGGACACTGGGTGGGCTGAGTCAATCACTGGATGGAGAGCGACGTCGGCTGTATGTTGATGAGGATGGCGTTGCGAACAAGGACATTATGCCTGGAGTGGTTGTGAAAGGCGTACAGCTCACACTGAACTTGAGGGAATGTTGTCACATTGTCTGTCTTGCTACTCTTTTGAGCTCGGCTTCTCAGAGAGCTACACAGTCATGGCCTCAACGAAGACTACTTGTTTGAGTGTATCAGCATCATGTTTTTTGTGAGATTTTCCTCTGCCCGTTGGTTGCCGCGGCCAGCATTCTCTCTTCGTTGTGTACTAGTACCATTTGCACTTGGTTGATAGTAGTGGTAGCCCAATGAGGTTGTGCTGATTCACTCTAAAACTTCTTAAACTTAAGAACCCTGAGCCCAATGAGAGGTGGCCAGGCCAAAGCCCTGAAAGACTCCGGAGTCAAGCCTTGAAACCTTCAAGGCTGTAGCGGCAAGATGTGAAACCTGAAGCCTCCAACATTCGATTCTGAAGCCTGAAGTCGTTTAGCGCTGACGTCTTGAAGGCTTTGCTTAGATTAAAGAGGCCCAGAAGAAGCTTCCTACGAGGCTGCAGGGGTCGTCCCGGCGCAAAAAACCCTGACCGCAACCCAACAAACTTTGGTCAAACAAGCCGCCCTAATTCTGTTTGAATGTTGTTGTTTGGGCTGGATTACTATCAGAACTCAACAATCTGGATGAGCACGGCTAGATGCAACGCACACGGACTCAGGCAGCGCAAGAAAGGAACTTGAAATAATCAAAAGGCACTCGGAAGGAGAATCTTGCAGAAGCCCTGCAGGGTCTCCTCACAGACCAACACTCTCGGTAGGTCCCGGAGTTGCATCGAAAGGGCCCCTTGTCAAGTGAAGAAGTTTTCTCCCGTGTCACTTGCATCAAGTTGTGGGTCACTGGTGTCTTCGTTGGCATCCCATAGGTCGTTGTGCTACATGTTTTGGCCGGCCCCAATGCTATGTTGAGAGTCGTAGCCGCACAGATCCCTGGACTGATCTGGTCCTTTTGCAAGATTACAACGAAAGACCGGTTCCTTGCAAAGTGGCCACCCTGCCCTGTGCAGGACTTGATGAAGGAAGCCGTCAAGACACAGCTCAGCATCATGCAACTTACAGAGACGTTGAATGATGCAGCATCTCAAATAGTCCGGCTCTGAGAAGTTCAGCGCAAGATCTGTACAAGTTGTTGCCTGAGCTTGCACTGTTTGCAGTGAAGAAAATCGGGAGCTCACACAGCGCCAAACCCATCTTCGTGCTCAGAGTGCATGCTTCTTGTGCTAGGGGTTTGACGCTGGGATGCGAACGACTAACGATTCTGCGAGGCCCGTGGGTGCGGGCAGGGCCCCAGGCAAATCGTGCATGTCACAGCCGCGGTGCTGTAAACTTCCTGTCGTGCCCAATCCTTCCCAGCTCCTAACAAGAAATTCGAATGCCGAGAAACGCCACCAGCTTAAGGAGGCCCCGTCCACGCACACCGATGGGCCCATAGGCAAGAGAACAATGCCACGAAAGGCTGACCTCGCAAAAAGCAAGCCAGTGTACAATTTTCATCGTGTCGGCTTTGTTTTGCGGTTCATCGCTGCGCTTTTTTTTTTTTTTCTCCCGAACTAATTGGGGTTGGCCGTATCCCCTTGTGGTGACGGAGAGGTGGAGCTGAACCAGGGAACTTGCTGGGATGCCTGGAAGGAAAGTTGACATCACACATCCTTGCTGGCAGCTGAGCCTTAGGAAAGGATCAAGTTCATTTTGGGTCTTGAAGATCGCTGTCTGTCTGGCTCTCGGTTTGTTGAGCTCTTCAGTCTTCTGATGTCAGAAGACATGAATCGCGACTCGATGCGACACGATGCGACACGTAGGTCCAGCATCTGCTTTGTGGGATCCCTTGTGGCATCCCTGGTGCTATGTGTCCCAGCTTTCCTTTTCTACTGGATGCTGCAGTCCGGGGCTTGGAGGCAAGGTGCCGTGCTTGAATTCACATGAACATCGACGTTCTGAAGGTTCCCCTTTGCCCTGGCTCATTCTTGTGGCAGGTATGCCCTTTGGCTCCCCGGCAGCTGTGCACTTCTGCCCAAGGCCATTCCAGAGAGCACATTTCCTTGTTTTTTTCTCCCAAAATCTGCATTGCTTTGCATTGCTGTGCCTGCTCTGCCATCTTCCGGCTCAGGCGCTGCGATCGCCCGTCTTCCACTTCCTGCAAACTCTGGAGCAGCGTAGGCAGGAAATCATGGGCGATGATCTGGACAGGACAGTCGGCAATTTGCTGGTATGTCCCGAAGTAATGCCCAGTGCAAATATCTGGATCCATGCCGCTGCGAGCAGGATCGTCAGTGGATTCTGGCATCGCGTGCCTGATGGTACTGAGGCGCCCATCCGCTTTGTCTGCTGTGGTCTTGGGCCCTCCACACGAAACGCCCGACACTGGGCGGGGCCCCCGTTCTAAAATATATTGAGCTATGAATAAATACCCTGGCCTTCTCCCAAGCACTTCTGCTGAGCTCAATGTACTCGCTTTGGAAATCCTTGGCAGCCTGAGAGATTAAGTTGGAGGAGGTGTTTAAAGAACGACAGAGGACCCCTAGCAGCCTTAGCCAGCGACCGGCTGAGCTTCTTGCCTTGACAGCGCCAGGCTTGCCATCTCCACCTCTGCAGGCAATACGTGCTCTGTGAGAAGGAGGACGCTGACAGCTGACTGCAGGAATGGAAAACAAGCTTGCACTAGTAGGAGGTAGGCCTGGGTGCAGAAGTCAGCACCACCGACACCACCTCGGCTCGGATTTTCAGCTGACTGTTAAGATGTGCTGAATCTTAGTGTAGAACTGTGGGCACAGTTGCCTTCACAGCCCGTGCCTGATGCCGTTGTTTCAGGCGCTTTGTACATATTGAATGGCAGCTTGCCTGTCATGAAAAAGGTGAGCAAGAGTGTCGCGCATGTTGACGTCGTGTGTTTCATGATCTCTGAGACGAGGCTGAAGGATGAGATCGCAAGGCCAGCAAGTTCCAGTGCCAGAAGTGTGTCCATTGTACATTGTGACCGTTTGCAGGATCCAGCAGTCCTTGACGTCAGTAACTTCAGAGTTCGAGGAGTTGCGACCGCTGCCGAGTTTCAGGCTGAAGGTCCTGAAACAAATACCCGGCGCAGGATCACAAGCGTGTGTCCACGTCCACGCACAACAAACTTCAGGCTCAGGCAAGATGACCGGATGTGACTTAGTTGTAGTCGTGGAGGCCTGGTATGCCCTCACAGGTATGGTCAGTTGAGGAAGCTCGCAAGGCTCAGGCACCCAGATTGCCTCCATCAAGAAATGAAAAACACTGTGTGCTCTGGAGGAGGCGGCGTCGCCTTCTCACCATTCACAGAAATCGTACCAGCCAATGGTAGCCATGACGGTTGGCACCTGAGGTTCAAGAGAGCAAACTCGTACGTCTTGTAGTGACTTGTAGTGGAGTTGTTGCAATGCGTGTTGTCTGATGTCACCAGTCAGAGGCTTCACAGGGATCGCTCTACCCGGGAACGGGGTCACACCGATTGTTTGAGCATGTGTTAAGCAGCATGTTTGCGCACAACAGCCTTCACTGAGCAGTCGCATGGCCAGGTCCGTGAATGTTCCCCAGCCAGTGAGCATGATCCACGCATCATCTCCCAGAAGGTGCCGATGGCTTGAGTTGTGACCTGCAACATCAAGCAACGTAGTCAGCCGTAGTCACGATGTACGGGAGACAGGTCGCCGTCCTTGCCTCAACCCGTTTCGCCCCACTCTCTGTCGGGGTCCATTGTCCCGAACATGTCAGGACTGCACCATGTGTTCTTGAGGGGCTTTTGTTTGAAATGCTTTCGTTCTGTTCGGGGCTGAAGTCATGTCAGCTTGCTAACCCAGGAGCACTGGTTCCGCAGACCGTGAGGACTTCCGGGCAACATCCCGTGCTAAGATGGTGTTCGTCGCTGTCCACAATCCTTTCTGGTCGCAGCAATTTCAAGCCACAGCCGAACTCCTCTTGAATGCCCGAAGCCCTTCTGAAGTGACAAGTAAATGTGTGATGCACTGATGCACCACAAAAAGGCAAGCTGGTTGAAAGGTGGAGGTCAGCTGACCAAGACAGGGCAAGTGTGATGGGGTGGTGGGGTGACGGTGGAAGGACCCATGCCCGAAGCTGAGAATGACACAGGCAGATGTGAGGTCATCCTGATGCATTCAGAGAAACGGTTAAAGATGCGACGCGGCTCCGAACTGGCAGAAACGATCTGCGCTCGAAGCGAGCACAAGCAATGCCCCCTCCCCACATGAACTTCCCGGCAAGTTCGACAACGTGCAAATTCATCCCCGCAATCAGGACCCTTATGGATCCTTATAGGATGTGCAACGGATAAGGAACGAAGAAGTGGAGTACGGTGCCCGACCGCACGATTCTTACCTGTATGCTTCGACAGGAGTTCAAACTTCGCGCAAGTAGCGCCGGCTATAGTATCTCAGACAATGCCGTGTGGATCTTAGTTCCAGAGCTCTCGCTGGCTTGACATGGGCATAAGCTGACGCGGCTGCACATGCCTCCGCCCAATCACTGTGTACTGGCATGCTGGCAGGCCTAGATTCGGACACGTGTCTGGAAATCTCCGTGCTTATGCATGCCTTGCAACACGTGGAGCACCATACGTCCAATTGTTCATTTGTCACCACCCGTAAGTTCATACATGGATACCAGATGAGCTTGTAATTGTAAACGCTTGCACGCGCCGCCTCGGCAGCCAGGCCGGCCCACGGACGGGAAAGGAGGAGGGAGGGTTTTTGGCTCAAAAAAAAGGGGAGGGGGTTTCAGGAAGAGTCCCAGGGGGGGTCCCAAAAGGGTCCCTCAAAATCGTCTTTTTGGAGCGCCCCCTCTGTAGGAGCCGCCGACAGGCGGGACCCCCCACGGCATCGGTTTGCAGCTCCTCCAAGCGAATGGGGGGTCCTACAGGGCGGGACAAAGATGCTTCTTGGCAGGAAGCCGAGGCGAATATGGCAAACCAAACTTTTCCAACTATCACAAGCATCAGGCCACAAAAACAGAGACAGAAGGGAAGGGCAGACGAACGCGCAAACAAATAATTAGACAACCGGTTGACACACAAAACGAGCTCGCCGAGATGCATCTGCCCATCCGCATATAGCTCAGCATGGCACAGCGAAGCAGCACGGTACCGACAGCAAGATCAGCAATGCACAGCTTCGTGTACCAGACCATCGTAATGTGGGTGCATGCATAGGCAAGTCATGGTGCGTCCGTGTCCGCACAAGATCTGCTGAAGCTGTCTGCGTGACAATGTCTTGTCGGAAGCACGCACTCAGCATTCGAGACCGTAAACCGCCAATGTTCATCTATGCGTGGCCTCCTGCGCAGCCGAACGTAGCGGTGGGCCCCAGGTACGTCACAATGCGTTGAGCCATTGGGCTGCAGGAAGCTGTTTCACTGACAAAAGGCAGAGGTCTGATTGACTAGAGACAGTGCTTCTATCTGCAGACTGTTTATAGCCAGTTCGATGCTCTAAATGATCCAATGCTGCACCGTTCGCTTCAGGCCCGCGTAAATTAGGCATTTGCTGGGGGAGAGAGTGCTGTTGGACATGGCAGAAACTAATTGTCTTGGAGTGGAAGCAGTTTCTCCCTCATGGGCCTGCCGTGCATGTGCATCGGAGCCATGTACTATGTACTATACGGCAGATTCCTGCACCCATGAAACAAGCCTGGCCGACTGACCTGTCTCTTGCATAATCGCTGCGCACTTTGGAAGATTGAGCATTTGAACCCGTTGAGCACGGCCCGGAATGGGCACTTGGCCCTCGCACAGACACAGAGCTCAAGCTGCTCACTAGGCTGGGCTGATGCCATGGCCTCACACACGACGAAGTTCTCCTTCCTGAACGCTCATGGAGGTGCCTCATTTCAACCTGCCTTCCGTTGGTCCTGGCCACGTCTCCTAGAGTCTGTGTTCTGTATCCGCAACGAGGGCAGCTCATTGGCCGCCATTGGCATTTGGCAGGTCCAGGCAGCCGTCACCTGCATGGCTTCACAGGCTGGAAGCAAGTTCTTTGGAAGGGGTCAAGAGAACGGAACAACGCGAACAATGCGTGATTTCAATATGGCAAGAGCCCTCAAGCATGTGAATCCACGTGTAGAAACCACAGCTCAGCTGGAAGCAAGTTCTTTGAAGGGGAACAAGGTGCGAATGCGAGCAGTGTATCAAGGTCACGGCACGAACTCATTGCAGTCTCGGTGCAGTGTGACATTGTCGGCTGTACTTAGGCCCAGATTGCTCAGCCCCCACTCGCGTGGCCGACTCGAGTCTGTTGACATGTGTTTGTTGTGCTCCCAGAGCTTCGAAGTGTGACTCCCGCCCGAGTCCGCTTCGTTGCCGACCATGAATATCCCTGCGGGGCATAGGGCCCAGACAGTCTTCGTCACTTAGTCTGACGCAGTCACTGGAAAGCCCAAGCCTTCGTCGACTCTTTATCTGCTGAGGTTTTCGGTGAAGTTGGGCAATCAGCTCGGGTTCAACGTGGGCGGCCCAGAGAACCGACGACTCCTGCGTCTTGTTGTGGGGGCACAACGGCTAAACACAGACGGGCCAGCGGAATTGGAAAAGTTGAAACATAGAAGCGGCTGAACTTGATCGGAACTTTTTTTTGCTCTTGGAGGCTTACGCTAACTTGCGTGGCCCCTTTGTGGCTCGCGGGGGAGCCCAGACAGGGAGTACTCCCAGAAAGGGAAGCTGCGGCGGAGCTTTGTCGCACTTTGGGGCACTTTGGCGAGTTGCTTTGAGCTGAGGGCGTGACGTGCCGCTCTTGCCAAAGAACCCTCGGGCGGGCGAGAGAGAAATTTATAAAGCCCGCGTGGAGGCGGCCTTTTCATGGACTCTAGCCGTACGGTTTGTTGAAGGCGCTTTGTTCCGGAAATGTCCTCAGAGAGTTGAGCGCAGAGTGAATGCAGGAGGTGTGGGTCATGCCAGAACGAATTCGCCCAGAGACCCTGCCAGCAGCAGGGGGAATGAAAGCCAGCGACTGAGCGGGCGTTTGTGGTTCAAGGCAATGTCAGTGCTGTGGCATGTGCCACGGGGTTGCCGGATGAGGAACGGCGCCGTGGCAAGAGGATGGTGTCTGAAAACACGAACACACTCAGCCCCGCACCAAGCATCGGCGAGCTTCTGGAACACCAGCCTAGCACCTCATGTTGTGAATACGTAGCTGTACTATGCTGTACTTATTGTTTTGTGGTGGCCTATGAAGAACGAAAAGAGGACAAGTAATGAGAGTCTGGAGAGGTAGAGGTGGTGATCACGAAGAGGGGCTGTCGTCTCTCTTGGACTCTTCGCTAGTTAAGAACAAAGACACACATTGGGGGTTGGAGGTGACGTAAAGAAAGAGAGAGATGCTCTTTACTTTTCTCGAATCAGATCGGCCTTGCCGGCGCCTTCTGAAAATTTCTGGACTATCAAAATCACACAAGGAGGCAGAACAAACACACAGCCAAGAACGGCAAAGCGAAGCGCATCCAGTCATCAGGCCATGTCGACACCCTGATTTGGGGGAGCGACATCGACAAGTCCGGGGCTTTGTTCCTTCGCGATGGTTGCGGCTTCTTTGTTTGTCCGACAAGGCAAGGGGAATCAAGAGACTTACAAGAGACTGCATGACACTAAGGAGTGATGGACTTCTAAAGCAGTGCGATTCTGAAATTTACAAGGGCGCTTCTGGCCTGAACGCCAAGGCTGCTCGCTGTCTTTCCAGTAGTAACTCAGTAGCACTAAGGCCAGAGTCGAGATACAGTCAGTGTGCAGGCGGAGCGCACCCCGATCTACGGCTACATGCCACCTGTTTGCTACCGAACCTTCGGTCCCGCCGGTGGCTCAGTTTAGCTCAACTTGCTCAATGCTTTGGGATGTTCCCCCTTATACGAACAGTCGTCAATAGGGAGCTTAGTACTAATACCTATTAAGTACTGTAGGCGGAACATCCCGATCAATACTGTATATCTCACTCGCTTCACGTTCCTGGAATGTCTTCTTGCGCCGCTTTCAGGAAGGGCCGGTTCGGGTCCAGTGAGTCGCAGGTGCAAGACCCATTTCGCATACCACCCAGGCCTGTTAAGCAATCACGGGACGCCCTAGCATTGAATAGGCCGAACTTAAGTGTCCTGCTAGTACCGGCACTTTTGTCACCATTGCAAGTCTCAGCTCAGCAATTGTTGAGGATGGATACCCCCGAATGGGGGCGTGTAGGCACTGCAATGCAGAAAAAGAGCATCCACCCAGACTGCTGTCCGATGTTGGAAATTCTGCCATGGCAAGAAGCCACAGCAGCAGCAACATGTTTGTAGCCACAGGCCATGACAGTCAGAACGTGTCACCTGGTCGCCGTTGCTGTTTGGCGTTGGGAGCCTCCTCCTTCACGTGACCTTTTTGAACTGGGTCTTCTGTTGGCTGCAGCCTCAGAGCTTTTGCTGAGAATTTTCAAGCACAGCCTTCTGCCATGCTGCCCCATCTCAAGACGTGCGCCCGCTCTATGGTTTTCACACTTTGAAGGCACCATCCCGCCCTTTGACGCAGTGCCCGCGCTGGTGAGCGAGCGCCCCAGGCGCTGTTGGCCCTCCTGTGGACGCCGGAAGGCGCGCCCCCCAAGGAGTGAAAAAAGCAAAAGGGGAAGGGGGGTGGGGGTTGCGCATAGTTGTCGTGTGTTGGTGGCGGGTTGTCGTATGTTGCGAGAGTTGTTTGAGCGTGGCATCGGCTCGTCGGCTCGCTTGCGCAGGCTTCGCCAGAGATGGGCACCCCGGAATGGGGCGCTGACGTCCGGAACACAGAAGACTCAACATGACTCGTGAGGGATTGGCAAAGAGAGGAGACCCGGCAAGAGTGTACATGCTGTATCCAGGCCGGTGGCGGCCCGCCGTCCCCGGAGGGTCGGCTAGCGGAGTAGCTCTGATATGTCATGCTGAAGACCTGCGACTGACGATTTCTTGCCAGGTCGGGGGGGTCACAGCCCGCCACAGCGAGCTGCGGCCTAAGCCACGATCCTTGACGAGTCTTTGGCGAAAGTCCGCGTGTTGACAGTAAGGGGACTGCACCGACCCACCCCGCCTCTGCAAAAAACTCTTGCTGGTGTCCCTTCATGGCTTTGGCTGCTCTCCGTCGTTCTATGTGACTGCCATCCAGCCTTCCCCTGCTCCATCCTCCTCTATCCTTCCTACACCAGCCTTATTCGTCCTCACGCCGGTGATCGCCGGAGATCCTCCCCTGGTTTCTTTGATCTTCTTTGCACGAGCTTGTGGCGAACAATCTGAGCTAGGGTAGGCTTCATGGATGGCTGCTGCTGGCAGAAGTTTGCAGCCCTGTTCAAGAATTTCGTCGCCTTAAGCAGGCGCTAGACTGTGCAAGCGCTGAGGCCTTGATGACAAGTCCACGAGGCATGAGAGGCCCCTGCACATGATGCCTTATCCGAATCCTTGATCATAGACCTGAAGCACTTATCTCTTGCCCTTGGAAGGAAACAGTTGAATGCTGGACTAGTTGATTGGTTGAGTTGAGTTGCCGCTGTTGCTCTATGCGCGGCCTCCAGTTTAAAATCTGGAAGCCTCATACGAGCTGGACGGGACATAGCACTACTGTCATATTGTGAGCTGCCGTTCGACGAGAAAGCTGCGTTGGCATAACCAGAGCTAGCTCATGCGGTAAATCAAGCTTGCGTCAATGCATCTGCTTGTCATGGAGAGGCCGAGGGGGTCCCAGACGCACATCAGAAGCAAATGACTTGCTGGAAACAGAGGCGCCGGGATGACATTGGATGGGGATGCATTCCAACCAAGTCTGATGGCGCATGATGGCACTGTGCTCCAGTCGCAGGCTCCAGAGGTGGAGCAGTACAGCAAAGAGAATTTACCTCCGGCTTGCAGCTCAAAAAGGTTTCCCTGTGCCTCAGAACTGAACTCCTGGGCCCTCTGAGGCCGCGGAGCACGAGATTGAATTCATCGTGCCGCACGCCGCCTCTTTTCCTAGTGGCGAAGCAGCGGCCCCGGCTCTCACACTTTACAAAACATAAAACAAAAACAAAACACGAAGCAGCCTGAGCATCATGAAAAAGTTGCTGAACCACCCGTCGCAACCTTGCATCGTTTCCCCGTGCCCAGAAAGTGCGATCGCCACCGTTGATGGTGCGGAATTTCAGATTTAGGCTGGCTGCAGTTTTCATCAGCCTGAGCACGGTTCAGATGAACATCTGATGCTTGCAGGATACTGTGCTTTCCATCGGGAACTTCGAGTGCTGGCGGAACTGCGGTGCTTGCCTTCGCATTGACCGGCTTGTGAAATGGCACTGTTTATATACTACAAGAGTAGCGACATGACATGTCCGCTTTCCTCAGGTCAGCGCGTTCGTGGAGGCTGATCCTCCGGAAGGCTGCAGCATCACACTTTACTCGCTGTTCTTTCTCCAAACCTGAGTTTCCCGCTTGGGTTTTTTTTTTGCTAGACTGCATCGATCGAATGATCTTAAAAGGTCTCGATCCGCGATGGATTTTCCAGGGCGTGAAGTACCAGGAGCGGAGTTGGCAGCGGCTTCCCACGCGCGTGGAACCAAAGAAGCAAACCGCCCAGGTGGCACTCGTCAACTGGCTTGACTATCGCAGAAGTGTGGTCAAGGCATCTGCGACTTGTGTCTGCCACATTCTGCCACATGCCAACGCTGTCAACCGTTTGCATCCGCTTGCCTTGTTGCAGTCTGACACATGGAGTTTCTCCAAGGCGGGCAGTAGGGCAGTAGGGCTGCGTCAAGGTGCCCATGGAGCTAAAGACGTCTAAAGACGTGATGAGTTGCCCAGGATGGAATTGACAGAGGTTGGCACGACATGGTGAGGACAGAAGCAGGGATGCAAACGTATTCAAACGTTCTCAACTCCTAGTCGATTTTAGCAAGCGACGGGGCCCTTGAGCCCGCAGCGCAAGTGAGCTTGGGGGACGTATAGGCTTGCTGGAGGACCCTGGAAGCCTTGTTTGCCCTGATAAAAGCAGCAAAGGCTTGCAGTGTCCGCAGGCTGTGCAAAATGGCAAAACCTTCGGTGCACTCGTTGTCGGTGCTCTTGTGCTTGTTGCCGAGTGAAGCTTGTGCAGCGAAGGCAGCAAAGAGGCACTACACGCCATGCGACCCGACCACCCGAAGGCTTCTGTGCAACAGGGTGCCCCTGCTCGCGGGCTTGTCGCCAAGCGAATCTCGGGTATGGGCTCGCAGGGGCCTCAAGGAATCCCAGAAACGCTTTCACCGGATTTGCGGGGTCCCGTCCGACGGGATGGCGGGGCATTTTTCCTTCCATGGTCTGCGGGACCCACTCGCAGGTTAGCCCCCGCCCCCGCCCCATCGATTGCAGCTCTCCCAAGCCAATTTGACAGCCACGGGGCGGAGGTGTGATGGTTTGGTGGGGACATGTTGGGGGAAGCGGGGATGCAGACCGGATCCTGCTCTGATTGTTCCAGACGCCTGCCGAGAACTCTCGCCAGGAGGAACCCTTTAGTGTCACCATCGTTGTATTGATTGTTGTTATTCTATGTTATTCTGATGTTTTGTGGTGTTTTTTCAAGCTGGTTCGGAGATGCTTCAGAGTATGCCGGGCAGGGCGTTGCCGTTTCCCCCGTTTCCTAACCTGTAAGCCCTAGGCAAAACGCCATCTTTGCTGTAATGCTTTCCGGCGATATGGCAGGACGTCTGAGTTGTCTCAGGACACCGGCTGGTTAGGCTGGAATGTCAAGAGCCGCCGTGTTCATGTTCCAGAGCTATCCGCAGATTCCACACAACACCGACGGCAGGCCCTCGTGACAGCCTTTGCTTCCGTGCGTGCGTCTGCGTTCGGCAGGCACTTCCAATTTCACATGTCTCGTTGATGCGTGACGGGATGTGACTGGAATTCTGTTCGGAAACCCATATGGCACGATTGATGGCGTTTCACGGTGCACGGCATGTGCACTGCACTTGTGTCAGTGTACTCCGCCTCTCTGTGAGTTAGACTGCTGCGTGACCCATTTCTTTGCTTGTCTACACCTCAGGCAAGAGCGCATAGCAAAACCCAAGACTAAGTTGTCGAAGCAGCGTAAGCGGCCAGGCCGAATAACAAGCCCTAAATCCTGAAAGTATGCAAGACAAACAAAAGGAGAGTAAGAAGCCAGTAGTACTGTATGCTCGAAGGATTGAAAAGGTATTCTCGACGTGCAAGAGAAACCAGCAAACAGGAGAAGCCAAACGCAGGCTCGCATAGCCATCAAAAGACGAAGTGCTGGAGCCTAGCGGCCTAGCCTAGTCAGGGCCTAGTCTGGCATTCGGTCTTGAATCGGCGTGCACTCGGTAGCTTCACAGCCAAGCTTGCAGGGGCTTGCACCCACCGCCATAGACCCAAAGCCCTTCAGCAAGCTGCTCTTCGTTCAGCTACGAGTAAAGGAATCATTGAGCCGCAAGCTGACACATTAACGAGCTCTGCAGGGAAGAGGCGCACTAAGCTCAAGGACATGCCAGAAGTTAGACACACACACACACCGCTGGCCTGATCAGGAATTGCAGTCGTCACAAACAAGCGCCTCATTCTTGTTTTGCAGACCTTCTGGCCCCTGCCAGCATATGCAGGCTGATAGCGTCCAAGCTGGTCAAGACTTCAATTGTAGGACGGGACCATGTGTTGCGTGTCTCTGCAGCTATGCAGCATGTTCTGAAGCATCTCCAAAACAGTGGCAAGCAAAGCCTTCGTCAGGAAGGAAACCGGCTACGTCGGCCTGATGAACCATGGCGCAACGCTGATCTGGCAAGTTTTGCCTCACAGACATTCTCTGAGAAGAATTTTTCCGTCTCCCCTGCAATGCAATGGCACGGAGAAGCAGCCTTGACAGCTTTGCCAAACCTCATCAAAGCTCCATCAGCCAGGTGTTACATGAACGGCCTGCTGCAGAGCCTCTTCCATGCTGGAGAATTCAGGTTCTTCCCTTCAGCATCCGCCGAGCTGACGCGTGCTTCCTGAGCTACAGCCCTTCGTAGGCGAATTGTGTACTCCATTGAGTGCGAGAAGGAGGAGAAGGCCAGGGGCTCCGGCAAGATGTGACGGCCTGTTTTTCGGCTCGCCTACGTTCGCCTATTGTTCACCTTTTGCGACTTAAGGAGGATGCGCCCATGGAAAGAGGCGACACCGATGCAGAAGGCCTCTCCCATGGATTCCGGCTGCTGGCTGCTTCCTTTTCCGTGCTCTTTGTGGTCTCAGGAGATATCTCCCTGATCCAGGCACTCTTTGCCCTTAAGCAAGTGCCGCTGCGCTGCTCACAAAGTTGCTTGCGTGGACGATTCCAGGCCTTGCAGAATGTCTTCTACAGACTTCAGACCTCAGAGCAGGTCCCTGCTGAGCCGGTTCTGGGTGCGTGGGCAGACGGCTCACATAAGAACATGCTGTATCAACTCACCACAAGTGGAAGCCACTATAAGCCACTATAAGCCACTATAAGCCACTATAAGCCACTAGAAGTGCGATCCTGCCAGATCCTGCCAGGCTGTCAACTGCAAGGAGCTGATGAAGTCCTTTGGCTGGGACACGACGGATGCCTTCACACAGCATGATGCGCAGGACAATCTTGCAGTGAAGACTGAGTCAGCAATGCAAGATACCAATGCCGTGCGACTGCCAGCCGGTTTCTTGCGGAAAGGAGCTAAACAGAATCCTGTGTGATCGGCTGGAGGCCCATCGCTGCTTCCCGAAGCATTCCGAGCGCGGCAGTTTAAGCAAACACTCAGCTTCGGTCTGTGCAGGAGCAGATGAAGGGCACTCCTATGGATGGCTCCATCAAGAGGCTGGCAGATAAACTCTGCTGGATTTTTCTGTATCGTGTTGGTTCCGGTCATCGTATGTCACCTCGCATATGTGTCAGCACAATCGGAATGATCAGGTTGTTCGAAGGCGAGATGGAGAACTACATCGAGTGCCTAGATGTCGCCTGGTTTCATGAATGGGGTCTGCATAAACAGATAAATGCAAGTAACTTGGCCGCTGGGCGGGCGGCTAAGTTGCGGCTCTCGACCAGCGCTTAGGTCGACTACACCTCCAAACGCCGCGAAACGCAGAGGCCCTCAGAGGCCCTCAGAGGTCCTCGCAGTTTCTCGCAGTCCCTGGGACACTGAAGCAGGAGCCCATTGCTATTGCCACCTTGGCTAAGGTTTTACGATATTCAGCTGAACATCAAGAGCGAGAAAGGAAACGACCTGCAGACCATAGAGGACGCACATTGAGCATCAGTCGCACCACCGCTAGCTGTATGGCCGTGCAGAACCGGATCGTTTGGAGAGTTGAGGAGTCGCTGAAAGAGTTCACTGCGGATGAGATGCTTGAGGGTGACAATCTCTACGAGGCTTGGGCTTCAGTTGCCCTCAACCTACAAGCCAGACCAACGTCTGGGAACATCACGATATCACGGCACGTCTGTACACGGCCCTGCGAGCTGTCCGGCGCCGATCAGGCCGAAGGCTACGGCAAACAACGCGCCAAGAAGGACCTTTGCTGGGTCACATGATGCGTGTTTCAAAGGTCACTTCGCTGATCAATTTCGTCTTCTGCTCACTGTTGGCTCCGCTCGCAGGGCATCCGGTTTGTGCAGTTCCCTCCGGTTCTGAATTTGCAGCTCAAGCGCTTTCACTTCGACATGGAGCGTATGGACATGGCTTGGGCCCCACTAAACCATGATTGTGACTGCTGCGCCACTGACCTCGGCCCCGGGGCCAGCGGAGATTGCGGGTGTGAAGGTGCAGCTTTCAGGGCTTCTTACAGGCTTTTCAATGTCAAAAGAAGGCCAGGCGCCCCAAATAAGTGGTGGCAGGGCTTTGGCTGGGAGGCGGGTGGGTCAAGGCCCAAATGCCGTTCCTGGACACCTGTCGGCTAGGGGGGGAACCCATTCCAGGCAAAAGTGCCTAATAAAGGGGTGCAATCTGTGCAGGCTGTTGGGGAGGGGATTAGAGGTGGGGTACCGACGTCCCGAGGCCTCGGCGGATTTGAAGAGTTTTTTTGATGGCTGTGTGTCTCAGCAGTGCATGCTTTGTTGCGAGGTGAAGCTCAACAGCCGCTTCGAGTTTCCACGCCGACTCGACCTCTCCCAGTTTGCGCCCGGCGCAGGGTCGACAGCCTGAATTGGCGAACATCCGAGAACCCCAGAACCGAATCGGCAGCTAGTGCGGAATGTGCCGAATGAAGGGACCAAGCGACCCAAAAAGTGCCCGCTTTCCCAGGCATTATCTGCTGCACTCCGTCGTTGTCCACAGTGGTGATGTCAACAGCGCCTTGGGCCGGTGAATCGCGAGGAATCACTCTCCGGGGTTTCTCGGTTTCTGCTTCTCGTACTGAGAGTCGTAGAAGAACTTTTCAGGAAGAGCAAGCCATTTGCTGATCAGTGAGTGCTCTCTCTCTCTCTCTCTTTCTGATTTGTGTTGCGCCGAGGTGGGCATTACTACGCCTACATTCGGTCCGTTGCTTTGGTTGTTCGCAGACAAGTCCGAGCCGGCACTGTGCATGGTCGAACTGCCAAGGCCAAACTTGGACGAGCGATGGGTCAAGTTCGATGATGACAACGTGGCATGCCAGAAAGAGGATTTTTAGCAGTGTTCTTTGTGTTCTTTCTGTTCGTGGCCGCATCGACGCCCGCCGACGTGCCAACTCCACATGCAAGGTCACGCCCTGCAGCGACTTTGCTGCGGTCGAAGACAACTTCGGAGGTGTGAATGTTTTTCAGCATCTGACGTCGTACTTCAGCTACTGCCCATTGTTGCAGGCAGTGACCCCAATGCCTTTAACTACTTCGATCGTAGCCCATCTGAACTCAAGATGGTGCGCCTCTCGTCTTCTCTTGTGCAATTTGGTAGACGCACCTCAATGGGTTTGCATGATGTGCCCTGCTTTATGCCCTTATGCCCTTTCGACCCTCGACCTTCACACAGCTGTGCGTGCTGACAGTTACAATGGCCGAGCCGACCGCGCATTCACAATGCGTGCCCTATCCACTTTTGCTCACATGTGAAATGCACAGCTGTCACAGCACTTTCGGGGGAGCCAGTTAAATTTCGCTTCCTCAATCTTCCTCAGGTACATTCTCGTCTACATCCGGGAAAACTGTGCAGAGGACGTGCTGCGAATCCCTGATCCGATGCAGGCCATTCCTATCTTCATCATGCTGACAAGGAATTTGAAAGCTCTGGCACCAGTACAGCTTGACAAAAACCTTCTCATTTCATCAGGAAGCTTTTTCCTGTTCTGGAGTCTGGAGTTCGCACTCTCACATATTGCTGCGAAGCCCACAGGCTTTGCAGTCATGGCGGGCAATCATGGGCAAGCGCCACCGAGTGCGCAAACCACTTTGCAGATTCTCCGCATGGACTGGGCATGGGCAGGGACACGACCTCGCATCATTCGGTCGCCATCGGCTAGGTGCCAAGACCGCGCTATCCTAGTGAGAATGCCCAGTGTGTGGTGTTTGACCCCCGTACCAAACTTCGCTCGTAAAGAGAACTGGGACATACTGGGACCAGGACAGGTCTTATGTGTCAGCCGAGAACTCCGAGAGGAACCCTCACAGGCTGCCCCAGCCGAGAAGGAGAGGAGAAAGGCCAGAGGAAGCAGAGCCAAACTTGGCCAAGGCAGCCACGGAAAAGAAGGCCCCCCCCCGACTGTCACCATGTGAAAGATGCCACGGCGCACCAGCAGACCCTGGCCTGGGATCTTCCTCTACGTGAAGCAGGGGAGAGTTTCTCGCCAAAACGGGAGGCACAAGTTGAGAGGATCACTAAGCAGCCGCATCGCCCAATCTGCGCGCAAAGTCAAAACTTGCGTAATTCGGCAACCCTGTGACCATGATCAGCTCCTCCACCACCCGGATAGCTCTTTGGCTTCTGCATTTTCATTTTCGAGGGACGAAGGTGCAGCGACATGAGCATAAGCATTCCGGATGGCAATATGGCACATAGTTTGCTCCAGCGTGGGTCGTAACGCACGATCTGCAAGCCACCACTGGCACGTGGCTCACTGACGTCCCTCCGAAATCTTCTGTAACTCTCAGCAGCCTTGCACGGCGCATGGATGCGAATGCATGTTTTATGGCAGGTCAACAGCCGGATGGTGGAGAGATGTAACGCTGAGGTGCATCTGCGAAAGTTCTTAGTTTCACCAGAACTTCACCAGTCAGTTGCGTTAAATGCAGGTGGCTCTTCGCTGAAGTAGCTGGCAGGGTACGTTGACGAGCTTGCAGGTGCGGCTGCAAGAGCAGCGGCGGCGTGAGAAATTGGAGCTCCAGACCAAGATCAGGTGCATTGAGCACTGTGCCTGGGGTCATTGTCACCGGCAGATGGTCACCAGCTTTTTCCTGCACTCGCAATAAGCGGCAACGATCTTCGTGTTTTGAAGCTGTTTGGGAAGAATCGGGCTGGCGATTGAAGAAGGTGCCGTGTGCAGACAGTCTCCGCGTAGTATTTCATGCTGTGCATGGAAGCTTGCCACATCAGGAACTCAGCTCATACACATAAAACGCATAGAGCGCAGCATGACAACACAAATGTCTTTTGGGATGCGGTAAAGAAGCAGCTATCAGCGGTTCGCGGCAGGATAAACTTGATCCTGGAGAACGACTTGTCAGGATCTTAAGCCTGACAAGGCCTCGTTTATGGCCTTTCATGGGCAGATGCCATACGGCCTCATAAGGCCCCCACGGCCAGTCCCTTCTGTTGCGTTCTCCGGCGAAGCGACAAAGGTGTTCAATGACCGGCTTTTGGGACTACACCACCATCCCGACTGGGCAGGGGCCCCGGGCCTGGGGGCTCCCGCAGAGTCATCTTTTGGCTTCAGTTGCGTGGCGGTCGGAAAACACTGTTCGGCAGGCAGTCCTTCAAAATGAACCGAGATCAGTTCGTCAAGGACTCGCTGTGAGAGAGCCAAGGAATGGTAGCATTGATTTTTTGCCACGCATGGACAGGACCTGCTGCTGCATGCAGAGGATGTTCTGCAGGCAGCTGTGCCGCCAACGAGTACCTACAGTTCAGAGCTGACTCTGTGCTCGAAATCTTTGCAGGTGAATGCTGCTCACCTGGCCCTTTTCGCGCTTCACCTTCGATCGAACCCACGACAGGCGGATTGTGCAAGTATGAGAGGTTTTTGAGGAGCTCCGCTTGCGACGCATTTTGACGCACTTGCTTCTCCTAAGGTGAGGTTCGAGTTCATGCCGCACGTCAAGACTCTCAGGCTCGCACTTTGCACTGCGTGGGCACCGCTCCTCAACAAAGCTGATTTATCCGTGCAGCGAAGTCGCCGTGCAGTCTGTTGTGACGGAGCAGGTCTCAAATACCGCCCGTCACCTCGCCTCATTACGAGCCTTTCCTGCAGAAGCAAGAACAAGCGTGGACGAATCGAGTTTGGCAGTTAGTTGCTGAATTCTGCAAGTTCTCTGCGCCAAGGACTCGCAAGATCCTTGCATTACTGTGCTCTGTGTTTGCCACTGAGAGAGCCATGGCGACCTGATGTGTGTCGCGCCGAAGCTAGAACCCAAGAACCTGGCCACCAGGTGGCAGCAAGAGGCTACGTGGTGGGCCCACCGCCACTGAGGCTAGGGATGCAGCTCACCTTGTGAAGTCTAAAGTCGCATGAGGCAGAGTCTTTTGCAGGTGGCAGAACGAGCCTGCAGAGCCTGAGGAGCTGTCAAGGTGCCCAGCAACGTGCAAGTTTCCTTAACATGGGCGCCAGTTTGTGCCAGCCATTCTCTGTCCGATCGTCCTAGACTGAAGAGACTGAAGCACCCAGGGCAGCGTCCAAATAGGTCATTTCACGGTTTCATGCTCCGGCCAGGCGGGAATGGGAGCAATTTAGCGCTAAGCCAACAAAAGTGTGGAAGGGCGGCATATGGGCCTTGCTAACATGAAGCAAGGAACTTCGCTAGGACTGCAAGAGTCCACCATGCCTGCAACGTGCTTTCGCAGTGAGGTGAACCACTGTCGGTTCAGTGTTCGGTGTTCCTGACCGTTAAAGTTGACGCCAATCTGCGGGCGATGGCGTGACATGTGGACAGCATGTGGGCGGCACGTGAGCAACATGTGGACAACATGCAGGTCTGATAAGGTCTGATGCCCAGGCCCTTTGGGCCGACATGACCGAAGAATGTATCCGCGCATTTTTCCGAAGAATGTATCCGCGCATTTTTTTGTTGTGCAGTGACCGTCTCACGCGAGAACGACTTGATGCCAGCTGCCAGCACAATATCTTGGCTCGCCTCTGCGATGCGCTTGCAGTGAGCGGTGGGTTCTGCGATTTTCGCCGCTCTGCTGTGCTAAGAAAGCTGCTAAGCCTTTAGAGTTTACCCTGGACGTTCAAGAACAACGAGCTACAGTTTGTCTATTGGCGCAGGAAGAACATTGGCTCCAAACGTTCTCGGATGAAGGGGTTTTCCCGAATGCGCTCCCGTGATCAGAGTTGGGGTTCCAGGGGGTTGAAGAGAACCGTGCGTTTGGTGTTCGCAAAGCGTTTGCCTCAAAAGTGCAGACAGTCACGAGGATGAGGCTTCTGAGGGTTTTGGAGGCTGTCGTCACTTGTGGACTCTTGTTGCTCAAAAAAGTGCAGACAGTCACGAGGATTAGGCCCATGGGTGGCGCCATCCTCGGAACTGTCGTCGCATTTTGAGCTTGGTTTTTTGTCCATGTCTCCTGATTCCAGGTTTTGCTTATCGGGGGGGGAGAATGGGGAACACCGACAAGGTGTTACTCCTTCCCGGTTTTGCTTTTTGGTGCGTCTTCGCTTACTCTGTGCGGTTGATTTGCTTACTGGTGCGTCTTCGCTTACTTTATGATCTACATGCAGTTGTTTTGCTTATTGGTGCGTCTTCGCTTGCGTTATTGAGTTTTTGTGATCGACCTGTCACCGACGACGACCTGATGCAATCTAAAGAGGTGTCCAGTTTGTGTGTGGCAGCCGGTCCTGCTTAACAATGTTTCAGGTGGGACGACCAGCAGGCAATTATGCAACTTGGCCCCAGAAACCCCAGTGGCATGTAAGAATTGTAGCCTTACAGAGACTTAAAAACCCAAGCCGAGGCTTGTGGTGAAGTATTTCTGCATTCAAAGACGGAAGCTTGTCACTTTGGGATGCCGCCTGGCTGTTTTTGGAGGCTTTTGCAGGGCAGTGACTACAGGAGAAGGGCAAGGTGGCCCCAAGAGAATCCCAACCTCCACCGAGGCTTCTACATGTCGGCAAATGACCCTCTGATCAGCATGGCACCGGAACTCATTCTCCATTTTTCTCTCAATGTTTGGAGAGTGCAATGGCGCAACTTGTGGGTTCCAAGGTGAAAAGCAACTGGGTGACTGAGAGACTACAGCGCTTTTTGGACAGTCAGGAGGCACATGTGCACGAAAAGCTCAGCCGGCATGCGCATCAAGGCATAGAGAGCTTGCTAAAGTTAGGTGGCGCCACTTCCGCCCCAGTTGCAATCGGCTGGAGAGGAGGGCTGAGATGCGAGTGCTTGAAGCAGTGCTTGGAGTGCTTTTCTGATTTCAGACTCGGTGTCGTGCCAGGATGGAACAAAGCTAGACGCAGTTTGGGAATGCTGGGAAGAGTACACCGAGCAGCAACTCCAGCTTCTCTTGCAAGCAGCATGCAGATGCAGATGCATGCAGATTGCACAGACGGAGTCTTCACCCTGGGGATTCAGGCGTGACATACAGAGACGAAGTGCCAAAAAGTCGGCCAAAATGGAGCGACTTTTGTTGCGGGCTCAGCAACGTCGTCTGTGTGTACGAGCCGGGCGGGGGGCGGGGGGGGGGTGTTGGGGTGTTGTGTGCTGCCGCGCTACGTTCTGTGGACAGGTGCGGCGACATCATTGTCTGGCAGCAAGCTTCTCCTTTACCACCACCCGAGGTGGCCGGCGAGGCGGCGAAGCCTCATCAGATGCCCCCGTTTTTAGCCCATTTTGGCCCTGCCAGCACAGCCCTTTAGCCCTTCTCTGGTTTCTGCTGGCTTCAGCCCCATCTTCATGCCATCATCCCACAGCCTTGCCGCACCATGTCACCATGACTTAGTCTCTGCAACACACTCGTTTCAGTTCTTGAAAAAGAAGTCTGCGCGAACTATGTTCGAAGGAATGGGCTGCATGCTGCGAATCACTGCGGTAACTCACTGACACCTCATCACTTTTGTTGGAAGTTGATCTGGGCATGATGAGAGGCAGCAACTGCACACCGGTGTTGCAGCAAACATTTGCTAAACCCAGAATCGTTTTCACCGTCACGGTGGACGCTGAATTCCCAAGTCCTCACAGGAGCAGAACAAGCAAGTCCGACATGTATAATTAGAATAGAATGTGCTTGTTCGTGCCACTCACGACCTCCCCCGACGATTCCGACATCATTGTTGCCAGTCCTTTCGTTGCTGCAAGGCGGACAAAGTTCTTTTCCAACCAGCCCGAGCATGTCATGTGAATACTTGCAATGCTTTCTCGGTTGCAGAGCTCTAGGGTTGCCCGACATTTTCTAAACATGGTGAGTTGGCGGTTGCAACAATCTTCTTTCTTGTGTCCTTCGGCCGAGAAGATCCTCATCTGGCTCATGTGGAGCACTGCTCCAAGCTTAAGAAAGTATATAATCGAAGGGATTGCTGGTGGCAAAAAACGCCAGACACTCTTCCGTACAAAGGCGGGGCCCAGCAAGTCAACAAGTCGTGCGAAGTGTACCTCCGACATCCTGTAAGGTTGCTCGAATTAGACCTTGTCATACTGTACTCGGGAGTGCGCAGTGCATCCCAACAATGAGTCAGCGTTGCCTCTGCCCAGAAGTACAAACAAGCCAGGGGCGCCAGTGCACATAAGCAGTGCGTGAACTCTGCGCAACAAGGAGTGTGCGCGCCCAGCTCCCCATGTTTATCTTGTTTTGTCTGCATCGCCTTGCATCGCTCCTGCCGTCTTAGTACTTCTTGTCTCAAATAGTGGTCTTGGTCAGGATGCGCTTTTGTTGCTCCTTTAAGAATTTGTCCCTCAACGCCGCAGGGCGGGTAAAATTCCGAGTAGCCAGGATCACATGGCCAGTTCTCAGTTATGAGTCTCTATTAGAGTTTTGCGAAGCAATACAAACCGAAATATGGCATATCAAAGGTCGACAAAGTTCTCGAAATATCTGCAGTTTATTAGCACTAACCAAAGCATTGCGGCATGTGACCATGAAGAACTATTTTTTCTAGGGAAGCCGCCAGAAATCTGCAACAAAGTTTAAAGACTTTGTGACAGTACACATTCGTGGATTACGCATTCATGTCGATTTCAGAAACTCTTGCACAGCATCATGATAATAACAAAAGTCAACAATCAAAGTATAGGCTGAGTAGCCTCAAGAGTGTTGATGCCCCGTAGCGTAAACACGAGGGGCTGTAAGGGTACCCCAAGGTTTGGGGACAACATTTCCGCGAACGGATCTGGCCAACAAGCTGCAAGAAAAAACTCACCTCTGCGGTCAGGATGTGCTTGTCTGTGGTTAGCCATGTCCCAAGCATTCTCAAGCTACTGATCTTCTGAATCCAGGAAAGCCCACTACAGCCAGGGCAGGTGCCGCACTGAAACAACTGTGTGTAGACCGAAGACATCGATTTGCACTTGGCAGGTGGCACCCACGTACCCCGTCAACAATGTGTTTGACTTGCTCGCTGCTTGGGCAGGTTTATATCGGGCGCTGTGAGCTCGCGTAGCTTCGTGGAGCCACAGACCACTTTGACACTGCATGCCAGGAGCATCAGCTGAACTCCATTGAAGTGCAAGTGACGCTGGTCGATCGCAAGCAGGCTCGTTTGGCTTTCCTGAAGTTGTCGATGCTTCGAGTGCGTTGTGCCGAGTTGTGCCGAGTTGTGCCCTGCTTCAGCCTCTTTGCATCGATGGGGTCGTCATGAACGGCCACTGGGGGGCTTACCGGTGCAGAGCTCAAAGAGCTCGGCAAAGCGAAAGCGCAAGCAAGCCCGGTCTTGAGTCCAGCGTTTCCCCAAATTGCTTCTCTTCAAGGCCTGCAACAGCCCAGGCGCCTGCAGACAAATATGGATGTAGTTTCGAAGTGAGAGTGCTGCACATTCTGAGATGACTGCTTTATTTTGTTGAGGAGGGAGCGCGGGAGGAGAAGCCCGAGGCTGGAGAATGTCAACACCGCGTCGGTTCAACAAAAATGGCAAACAGCACATGTTGGCACATTTTGGCACATTGAAGCTTTGTGCAGGACATTGCCCTGTCCAAGAGTCCAGCGAGCTTCTCGCCGGCCGTGACCAAGGAAAGTACTTCTGGGCTCTTTCCAGGGGCTCCTTGCAGTGCATTGCCGCAATGCCTCATTGCCTTACATGTTCTGTACACTCTGTTAACTGTATTCTTGGCCTTTTCTGAGCAGCTAAGCATAATCCTGATCGGTGCGAACTCGGCGTGTAGGAGCTCCAGATGGATCTGCGGTATACCCAAAGCCATGTGACAGGCCCCGCAGTGCTGCACTGTTGCAATACTGCTGCACATGGGTTGCCGGCTAGCCCTGTTAGCTGACTGCGAACGCTGCGAAGCATCGCCTTGAAGATCGCATTCTGAGAGTCTGAGCTGGCAAGGAATCATTGCGCAAGCCTTTGATCTGAAGTCCGTTGTGCCGCGGACCTCAGTATGCAACGAGTGAAGTCGACACGGCAAGCTGCCAGAGGAAAGCTAGTTGTTCTGTAAGTCTTCCTTTGACCATGCTCAGCAACATACAGGACGCCAGCATCAACCGTTCCCCCCGACCACGAGACCTTCTTGTGGTCTGGCGCTTTTCTACTCGTTTTCTCTTTCCGCGAGAGAGGTGTGTGTCACTTTAGTACGACAACTGTTGCGCGCAGTGTGGTCCGAGAGTGCGCTCTGCAGGCTCTTCCAGTCTTCGCCATCGAATGGAGAGGATCGGAGAGCAGAGGGAGGGAATCCTGAAATTGTGATCGCCAAAGATTCGGGTGAAACAAAAGTGGCCAACGTGCACGGAATTGCCGAAAAGGAGCCTATCAGCACGAGCATACATGCTCGATCGACGCTGAAGGCGCTCAGAGTCTCCATGCCCGGAATGTCTACGGTTCTTTCTCGCTGCACGGAGTGTTGAATTTCCAAGATGGAGGACATCCAGCGATACGCACCATATGTGTCACCAGCAGGAGGCACAGCTCTGGAGCCTGTTGTGTGAGCACGTAGGTCCTGCTCCGTGTGTCATACTCGGAGGCTAGAGCTGAACGGTGAGTTTAGCCGAATGCCAGGAAAGAAGCCCCTGAACCTCCATGCGGTTGAGATGCCGTATCGTCCAGGCAATCTGACATGTTTAGAACATTTTGGAACACTCTGCTTGGATTTGCTTTAAAAACTTCTTCACATAGCGATGCCTTTGCTCCAGCTTCTCCTTACGCCAGGTGCCGATAGTTTAGATTCCAATCTGTGGGCCTTTGGCGTGCGGTTCTTCGACTCGGCAGTCCGGGAGGTGCGGCTAGTTAGACTAGTTGAGTCACTTGAGAGAAAAACAGAGCACAGATGAACACAGCCTTGCAGTCTTGCAGCTTCGCAGCCTTGCGCGTTTTTACAGCTCGACTTTGTGGTTGCAGGTTGGGAGCACGATCTGCTACGTGAATGCTTCCACCGGCACTGTGGAGGAGACTTCCTCGCCAGTACTCCAGTACTCCAGTACTCCAGTACTCCAGTACTCCAGTACTCCAGAACTCCAGTACTCCAGAACTCCAGTACTCCAGTACTCCAGTACTCCAGTACTCCAGTACTCCAGTACTCCAGTACTCCAGAACGGCCGCGTGTGCGAATTCTACGCATGTGCACTGGCACAATGTGCCCGCATGTTGCCTTACTATAAGTACCTTGTACACTCTGTCAAAGAACCCTGTGTTCGAAGATTGTACGCCTCGAACTGATCGTATCCGTCGTGCACGTGTGAATCGTTTGCCAGTTTGGCAGCCACTGTTGCCCAAATAGAATACATTACATTGACGCTTGCCTTAAGTTGGGAGGAGGAGTCAGGCCACGTTGGCTTGTCCAACAGGGATTATCAACAGAAAAAACACGAGGGGTGTCAGCAGAGCGGCATGCATTCATATTCTTCTTTTGTGTCAGCCGTCTTCAGTGAGGGCCTCTGGCTTTCGCTCTTGTTATGCTCAGACAACAAGGTGCCAGTGCCATGCAGAGTGTCCCGAGCATGGAACCCCCATTGCTGGGACTGGAGTAGACCGCCCAGACGAGCATCCATGCAAATAAAGGCTTCTGATGCGTTGGATCTTCCTAGAGGGCGAACTGCCTGTAGGTTGGGATGCCCTTTTTGCACCGATTGTGGGGCTTCAAGACCGTGGCCAGCATCCTTCCTGGCTTTGCAATGACCGGTTGTTGTCTTGCAGAACAAGCACGATTGAAACGGTGGCCTTCATCGTTCAGTCGTGTATCTCGTAAAAAATCTGTATGTAATACATATACATATATATGTTTATATATAAATACATATATATATGTGTGTGTATGTTTTGTTTATACTTCCACATTTAGGTATGTTTACATGCTTCTGCCATTCTGACAAACGCCGAGCAAGCCTTGCTCTTTCGACACGAATTTTGTTGTCCTGCTTCTGCTATACCCCACCGATGGTTCAACAATCGGCGGTGTGACATTTGATGAATCCGATCCGGGTGTTTTGTTTGCCACGCGAAGTTAGAGCTTTTTTGATCAATGTTCGGTCTGCAGACATGACCTGATCTGAAAAACAATCAGGATTTGCTCAGAGCAGCCGAGCCTCACATTGAGCCCGCACAAGGCTTAATCATCCACTGCGGCGGGTGTCCAAATGCTTGGCGGCAGAATCAATGTTTTTGCGACTTTGCAATTCAGGATTGGAAGATTTCTGGACCACTTCGTGCAATGGAGGTCATTGACGGTATGGCCACGCTATGGAGGTCCAACCATTGCATGCGCAAATGTGCCGCACAATCAGATCAACTTCTCTTTGCGAAATAGCTCAAATGGTTGTCTGTTGTGACTCCTTCCATTGTTCCAAGCACCTTAAGAGGTAATCAGAGCAAGTTCTCTCATGCTCGTTTCGGACTCTGAAAAGGGTTCCGACTGGAGCCGCTCGAAAAATGGTTTGTCACGCAAACAACTTGATTTGGGGAACTTGGGGCTCGAGCATGTTTGCCGGCTCCAGAATTTGCAACAGAGAAGTTGCTTCTGACTCGCAGCGCAGTCCCAAAAGCGGCACGGTCCCACCTTTCGCTTAGAACAAGCACTGCTCCAAAAACGGGGGGCAGATTTGAGCACTTGGGGCTCGTCTCCTTCACAGCATCCTTTTTTTGCCTATCCTTCGAAAATTTAAGTTCTTTAGGCCTTCGTGGTCTTAGGTGCATGGGATGCCAAACTCTTCCTTCTCACAGTCTAACACTAATTGCTCAGAGGTCCCGCGTTTCCTTTTCTATTCTCGCTTCTTGCCCACAGACACTGTGCTTTCAAACAGGGCCTTTGTGCGAGGACACGTGGAAGGAACGCAAAGCACAGACAAAGAACGCCCTAGTTCCAGCGGCGGGAGATGGCGGGAGGCTTCAAAAAAAAGGGAAATCTCCTTGGGGGGTGACTTCAAGTACATCAATCGTCCACTTCACGCCAAAATAATCTACAAACCGAGGAAAGAACAAGAACTGATGTAGAACTCTTCCCTGTGACTGCCTCTTGCCCTCAAAGGCCAACGGACCCACTACGAAGTCTTCACTGCTATGGGAAGTACAACGTGCTTTACCATGCGGTGCGCATCGAGGCCTGCTTTTCTCCTGATGCATAAATATCAAAAGATCATAGACTGATCATCTGCAAAATCAGCTCTCTCTCTCTCTCTGCCAAATTGCAGGCCGACCTTGACACTGCTGCGATGTCGACGGACAGTTGCGCCTTTCTGTCACATGCATGGAAATCGTTCGTGAAGTTCGTAATGTGTCAGCGGGCACATGTTGGTAGTTGTCAGAATGCGAGTGCAAGACGATTCTTCTTGCAGGATGACAGGCTCATCGAGGTGTACCACTGTGACCGCTCAAGTCAGCAGGCTGGGAATATTCCAAAGCTGCCATGAGAAGCACTGGTCAGCGGTGGCTATATTCTTGAACCAACGAAAGGCTTTTGGTCAACCTTTATTCCTTCCAGCCGCTGTCACCTCAGCTTTTGCTTTCGCTGTTGACCACGATATGCCAATGTCGATGGTGGTAAGTCTTCGAAACAGGCGCCTGGCGAAAAGGCGGGCAGCTTCAAGAACCGATGTAAGGACGCTCGACGAGTCGAGCACGGGTTCCTCTTCCAGCTTCAAGTCGCGGAAGCCCTTGAATTCCAAAACATAGGAGCGACTTGGAGTGCCAGAAAACGAGTTCAAGACCTGGAGGCCGGCTCGCTTTCTTGCCGCTGCGCCTCTGCACCTTACATATCCTTACATCACTTGCTTCTCCTTCTCCGTATCTGTCGAAACCCCTCGAGAGGCTTGTCCGGACCGGGCAGAGGCCCCTCCCTGTCACGAACCATTTCACAGTGTTCGCTCGCGAAGTTGCATCGCCGAAGGTTGTCGCCGAAGGTTGTTGAAAGGTATAGGCGAGGTATTTCCAGGAAGCAAAGGACTTGCCGTACAAATCAGACAATCGTCTAGAGACAAGACAGAGACCAGAATAAACTTGAGAGGACTTGAATGTGACTTGGTGTATGGTAGGATTAAAAGGGGTTTAGGGTTTATGGGTTTAGGGTTTGTAGGATCTCAGCTTCAAAGGGTTATGGTTGAGTTGCTGAGAGTTGAGACCGTCAACCTCCGCAGAGGCTTCTAAACCCTCAGCAGTCAAAAAAGCCCGAGCCAAAGAGTGCCAGTGTCTGGATTGTCCGGAGGGCGGGGCGGCAGCATCTCAAAGATGACGATCCGCTGGATTCGGAGTCCGGGCTTGACAACAGGCAGGATGCCCGCACGTGGCGTGTGTGTGTGTGTGTGTGTGTGTGTGTGTGTGTGTGTGTGTGTGTGTGTGTGTGTGTGTGTGTGTGTGTGTGTGACAGATCAGTTTTGGAACAAGGCAGACCTAGGCGATGGTCTCTTGTGTGTGCCGTGTGTCTCGGTACCAGGATTTGCCTTGAACATGTGCATCCAAATCCCAGCCGATGTCTTAGAACCTCTAGCTGACTCTAGCTGCGAACGAGTAGGGACGGCCTGGTGCGTCTGCACATGGTCAGCAGCACAAATCATTGCCGAAGCAGGGCTTCGGTGCTTCCTGCACTTCGCAGCTGTACCGGCTGAGGCTATGCCAGGACATCCCGGTACAACAAGCCCCTGACAATCAAGTGAGAGGGCGCTGTAAATAGAAGATATGGAGAGCGCCGCCTGCAGTTCAAGAGATGAGTTAACGGAGTGAACGAATTTGAGCCATGTCTGATCGTCTTGATCGTCATACTTGGATGAAAACACATACCTGTTTGTTCTTTCAGCCACACATTGTTGTCGAGTCCGTGCTACGGGCGGCGTGATTCGAATCCCCCCGCGCACATCTTAGGAGAATGTTGTCTGGACCTGGACCCTTGGACCCTGATATTCAAAAGCAGCGCGCAGTCATGGGACTGGGTCCGACTGGATTGTCTCGCTTCTATGGCCTCAGCTGCGGCCATGAGCACCTCCAGAAGCGAACAGTGTGAGAGAGAGACTGATCAAAAGTTTTTGCCTCGGATTATGACGGTTTGACCACGCTACAGCTTGGAAAGGAGCTTTCTGACAGCACAGGCAAAAAACACCTCATCAAGATGCAAGTTGCCTTTCATCGCCTTTTGCTCGAATGTGCAGCAGTAGCGCATTGCATAACAAGCTGTTTGCTGCAGCTGCGGTTTGAGTGCCTTTGGGTAGAAGGTGTACAAGCCCATCGCTGTTGGATTCTTTTCACAAGGGTGGCGGCGTAGGTACGGGTCGTGATTCTGAGTGCCTGGTCACGGGCTTTTACACAAAGCTAGCCGCTGGCAAAGGCTCCATGCTGCCCCAGCATTGATCTGTCAACATGTCTCTTGTTGCTGCTGTTGCGGACCTCTTCTATATCCCGACCGATGCAGGCAGACTCTTACAACCTACACTACTTCATCACCGTCCCTTTCTCGCAGGGCTGAGTGCAAGCGATACTACGAAGGGGACAGTTTGTGTGCGCACATCCTGTGCCAAGGACCAAGTCGAAATGCGATTCGGGTGGGCAGAGCTCTGGCCGCACCCAAGCCCAGCACGTGCCCAGCACGTGCCCAGCACAGTTGATGCGTGAGATGGGGGCTTGCAATGGTTTCCTGGTCTTTCCATGTTGTGCGTGCGGGATCGGGGCGGCTGCGGGAGTGCTCGCTCGGACGACTGCGCGTAACAGGACTTCCCATTGGTGTTTAATGGATACGAATGCGCAGAGTGCATCAACAAAGGTAACGTTGTGCCGTCATGAGGCTCCAAGCTTGTTTCTGAGGATTCAGTGGCAGCGCGCCATCGACATCTTAAGAATCTAAGAAATGTGATGGAGGCTTACTTAGATGCATCGCGGCCCCAAGCCCCGCAGACATATGCGCTGCCAAGGAGCCCGGAGCTACATCTCCAGAAGCGATTCAGGCCGCTCAGGCCTGGCTGCAGTGGCACAAGCTGTAGCAGCTGTAGCAGCTGCATCTGAAGCCTCCAATTCTTCAGCTCTCGCTGGGCTCACCTGAGTCACCTCTCCGGCTTCGAGATGCAGTGGCAAGTCGCCAATAAATCTCCAGCCTACACTTGCCTAAACGGCCTAAGCTGCTTAGAACGACTTAAGACAGAGCACTGCTCTACGCGGAGTGCTTGACGCGGAGTGCTGCGGTGTCTCACAGGCCCAAGGTACCGTGAAGGGCAGGGCCCAGCGCTCAGCTTTGACCGAAAGCCACATTTGAAGTTTGAGAAACCCACCTTTTCAGAGGCATTGAGACGCCTTGGGACGTATACATCAAACTTGCATCGAATGCATCAAGCACGGGCGAAGTAAGTATGTGACAGTATGTGGGATGGCTGATACACGACCTTGTGGCGAAGTTGAGTGGCATAGAACTTGAATCCGCTTGCCCTTGACCTCGTCTTGAGGTCAGTGATGGATCTGGTGGTTCAGGATCTGGCGGTTCGGGATCTGGCGTTTCAGGATCTGCCGGTTCAGGAACTGGTGGTTCAGGATCTGGCGGATCTGGCGGATCTGGCGGGCAGAACTCTGAACAGGCGAGGCGCTGATCAGAATCATTGCTTCTTCGTTTGAGTGTGAACTTGTCATTCCATGCTTGAATCGTCTTGTTGCCAATTGCCAGCTGCTTACAGCGATCAGGCAAGCTCAAGTGGCGGCAGTCGGCTCAGCCCAATCTGCTTTTGCAGTGGTCAGTACAGTGAAGATTCGCGAACATTTCTCAGTAGTAGTGCCTGAGGTCATTCCATTTCGTTCAAAGCACTCGAAGCTCTCCGTGATATTGTTCTCAGCTCCTTTGCTTGATTGATCTTGATTGTGTCAACCGGGTTCGGGGCATGTAACGTGAGATCGAAGACTGAAAGCTGCAGACGTCCAGATTTGTAGTTCACAGGTAGCAGGGACCGAGTTAGTGCACATCACAGAGGACCCATGAAGACTCGACAGACCAGTCCACTCTTTGGCAGGCGAGGCATCTCCGACAGCAAAATCGCAGCTGTCACAGACTTCACCTTCAGCGGCGGCACAACAACAAGGCCGAACACCGTGTGGTGTGGAATTATGTAGATGGCTGGTGCATACTTTAGAGGGATGCAGGACATGACAAGGCTCGTTGGTGGTCTTCCTCACCTGGGACGGCTCTCGAAGTCTGACCAGACTGAAAGCAGCATAGTGACTCATAGTGTCGTCCACTTCTGGGCTTCCTCGGAAGTAAGAAGGGCAACCACAGGCTAGAGTGCAGGATTTGGGGTTGACAGGCCTCCAGGCTTCACTGAGGCCTCTCCAGACAAGATCTGGCAACGAGCAAAAGCGAAACGCAGCAACTCGAGACTCCAGAATCTCCAGGAAGCTTGCTTCTGCACTTGTGCTGCTTCCCAAACCTCCGCCAGGGCGATCGGCTCCTGCCGAAACTTTGCAGTACTTAGTGCCAGCTGTCAATGCAGACGCTGATGGCACGCGCCCCATAGGATGTAGAAAGGGAGAGCAAAGCAGAGAGCAAAGCAGAGAGCAAAGCAGAGAGCAAAGCAGAGAGCAAAGCAGAGAGCAAAGCACAGCAGGACACTTTGCTTTTGAAGAACCCCAGGTGATGAGGAGGACGAGCAAACGACCTCTGCCAGCGCCAGGGTGAGGCTTGTATATTCCACTTCGGCTGTTATGCAAAGCCCATGGCAATGTTGGCACGTGTGCCCAAAAAGAGCGGTAATCTGCGAATGAAAGGACACGGTTCTGTGTTCATCCAAGTTCATCCTGTGGCAGGGCCAGCTGGCTTTTAATTTGGTGTCATGAGTGGGAAGCCGAGAACCCCACAGATTGTGTGAAGTGCATAGAGCCTGTCTGCTTGCGTATGTGAACTAAGAATATATGTGTTTCGTGAGTGGGTGGACAAGGCGTTGTTACAAGCCAGAGCGACTGGGACTGCGTGCCCATCTCACAGATGTTGTCAGATGCCCAGGCTTGATTCGCATGGAATTGAAAGGTGGATGTCAGACTGTTAAATGCGGTCACTGTCCCGAGGCCATGAAGTTAAGTGCCGGAATACTTTGCATGAAGAAGGCAGGGGGGGAGCTCCCTGACTCCCTGATGCTAGATTGCTAGATCAGATTACTTGTGCCGCCTCTGGGACAGTGAGGCTGTCAAGTACGAAGCATGGATGAAGCACGAGCCTCACCAGTAGCCTCAGCTGTACTCTACAGTCGTGGCTATTCATTTGTACATATTCTCAGTATCCGCCGAGATGCAGGCATGGCCAGTACTCACAGTGCTAAAGTTGAAGTGCAGTTGAAATGCATCGACTCAGGCGAACCAATACCAAGTTCCATGTTCTCATCACGGATTGGCGAGAGGCCTGCATGAATGGCAGGGGATCAGAGACATTCATGTCCTTAGAAGCGGCGCAAGCGTTTCGCACCTGCGCAGGCTAAACCCTGCATTCAAGCAGTTGGGGAAAGCACCTTGTTTGCAGAGAGAGATTCTGCAGGGAACTTCTTCAATGCAGCATCGAAGGACAAACGCAGCAGCTTCCTAGCCGATGCTTAGCGGGCATGATGATTTTGAAGCTCCAGAGTGCCAACATCGAAACTCGCATGATGCGAACATTGAAGCTCGCATGATGCTACCTCTAAGGACATTCTAAGGACTCTAGGGGTCCAGGAAGTTGTATTCAAATCTAACCAGACTTTCGGAACCCCTCACCCGTCGAACTTCTGAATTTTCCATATGGATACAGGAATCCATACCTTTATCTTCATAGGAATACAGGAATCTTTGTTTGATTACTGGGCATCCAGAACGGTCAGGATGTATCGCCTCTTCCACACAGTCCCCAGCTTGCTCGTCTGCACTCAAGGGAACCTTGTGGCGACTGAGGTCAGCAGGAAGACTCTTGGCCCGAGATGATCGTCTTGCACTCAGAAGGGCAGAAGTGAGCAGAAGTGTGAGCCCAGGCATCATCACTATCTTGTCACATCATTAGGCATAGCCTTGTAGATTAAAAAAAGTCGACGTATCGGCCAGAAGTTCAGAACAATGGCGCGCAAAGCAGACGATTGTTAGAATGCACCACGTGCCCTGCTGCCGAGATAATTCTCTGCGAGCTTCCGAAGTCCTACGAGAACGCAGTGCAATGGGCGTGCTGCTTAACGCCATGATACGCCGCTCGTAGGGCTTGCGCTGAGAAAAGAATCATCCATGCAATCGCCAGAGCCGGACGTGACAAAATACCTCGCCAGATCACCTGCTATAGGCGAGTCGGCAGAGTTCTACGAAGACACCGATTCGTGCTCGGCCCTGAGTTCGTGAGTTGGTGAACATCTCTGCCCTGACATCACCCGACACCGTGTCTCAGTATTGACCACCACCGGCATCGGCCACTCAAGGTTGTATTTGAGGATCCTGAGCAGACTCACTTCCAGGTCTCTCTGCCCACTGAATATGCCCTCTTCTGCACGCTTCACTGTGCATGGAGCGGATCCCACACAGATGCAGGTCATGGAAAATCTGCTGCACGAATGCTACGAGATGATGCTCAGGCGGAGGCGCTATCCACCGCGTTCTGCGTTTCTACATTCCGAAGACGTTCTTGTTGTTGACCTATGTTGACATGACTTCGACAGGCCCATGCTGATGCCATTCAACCCTGGACTGCTGTCTCAGTTTGTTGCTTACATGGGTGGCAGCAGCGGCGGGGACGGAGTTCAGATGTGCATAAATGCCGCAGCAGGATCATGAGTCGGCATGTGCTCTCAAGGCCAGAAGGCAGCGACTTAAGGGCAATCGTGGAGCAGCAAGGGCCATGGGAGGCGGGTCAAGTGCAACAAGAAGAAGCGGAGAGACTAGAGAGATGCAGCTGACAACCTTCCGTCTCCAAACAGGCGGCCTCTGAGGCTGATTCTGATGAGATTCGGAACAAGTTCCGAGCCGGCACAATCATTAGCCTGTGAACAACGACGTTTGCAAAGCAACCGTCACCTGCAAGCCAGGTCGTTCAGGGCATGAGGAAGATTTTGCATCCGAAGTTTTCCGTGCTGACCTTTCATATGTCTGTCATGTTTTGACCATGTCTTGACCATAGGCGCGTTTGCTGGTTTTGATCATCTGACGGACCCTGTAACACTCTTTGGACGTAGGCGGTCCGTGCACGTTCTCAACTTTCAAACGTCACTGGGGTATTCCCGCAGAGCTCTTTAAGAAACGACGACAGCCCGTCACTGTCACGGCTCAGGCTTTGCGAAAGGCCTGGGAGTAGAATGTCATAGTGAACTTATTCGTGCTTCATCAGTCAGGGCCGTGACATCTGTGACAGGGTACGGTGCATGCAGGCTTTGTGAGTCTTGCATACAGTGGAAAGACCTCCCTCGATTGTCAGCAAACTCCGATCTGCCTAGCTGTGACTAGCTGTGACTAGCTGTGACTAGCTGACAAGACAGCGATTTTCATGCTTTGCTTGGTCATGCAGATCGGTAGTTTTGCTGGTCTTTCTGCGCATTGCCCCAAGTACTGATCATTCTCAGATGGACCTGCCCAGCCAAAGATGGGTGCGTCCTACGTGTACTTGCAAAAGTATTGCGGATCGTAGGGACTTACCTGGTTAGCACGAATCTTGGGATTTGTTAAACTACAGCGGATTTGGAGAACATTCAGCGTCAAAGCGTCGATTGCGATCCGCACTGTCGAAGTCTCATCAGGTTCACTCGACCCGTTTTTCCACGTGCCCATGTGCAGATCATAGTAGGAAGGACCCCCCCCCCCCCCCCCCCGAGAATGGCTTCATGGGCACCAACCCACGGCGACACCGACGCTGATAGCAGCGGTTGAGGCTTTAGGTGACACCCGCCCATCCGCCGACACGGCCCAGTCCATGTAGGTTGGGCTTGAGCCTGAGGCGGCTGCGGCGTAGGCTCTTTATGGTATGCTTCCACTTGCAAATCGATATTTTTTGCAGGTGTGCGTGCGCAATTTAGAGATACATGATGCGTCTTTTTTTCAAGCCACTTTGGAGCGGAGCAAAAGCTTTGAGAGGGTCTGCGTGCTCGTGGCCGGTTACCTTCGTCTTTGGAACATGGAGGTACTGAGGTACTCCAGCGTATGAGGTGCCAGTAGGAAGGACACCCACTGCACTCGGAATAGACCTCATAAGTGTTGGCCGAAGTCATTGTGACCATAGCCGCCCACCATCGTGCCTTCCTTCAACATCGTCTTCATTCCGCTTCAAATGCTACTCTGCAACTCCGTGAATCTTGCAGACTGATAATTAGGGCGAACCGTTGTCAATAGAATGTGTGGCAAGGAAGGAGGCAATAATGTTGCTGCATTACTCTCCAACATGTCCCATATCTCCCCATGTAGACCCGATGCAGGGCCATGCAGCCCAAAAACTGCCGTACAATTACAACAAGCATCCGAGCAACTTGATGTGGCAGGGTATGTTTAGCACGACGGAAGAGCGCAACCTCATGGCGCGTTATGGATGTTCTGGAGGTCATCCACACATGAGCTCTTGACTAAACCACCTGCTTGGAGGTGGTGTTATCACATATTGCCAGAGTAAATTGCTCATACTGTGCCTCTGTTCCAGTTCCTTGTGCTACAACAGTCACAACAGCACCGCCGAACACGGGGAGTTGGTTCGACAGAGAACTCCAGGCGAACTTGATGTGAGAGCCTTCCTTGACTTCAAACCTCAATCCCTCGACCTTGAATGGCCCCAAATCCTCAACTTAAAGCCGTAGTTCCGTAGTATTCTTTCTGTTTACCTCAAGGAGAACAGGAGCCTTTACTTAGATGTTAACCATCCCCCCAATCCCCAAACTGCGACTCTACCATAGACTTTCTGTACTTTGCTTGGTTTAGATAGCTTGGCGTCTTAGAGCCCTGAACCTGGCCCTTACCCTGATCCTGAAATCCGCAGCTCTCAGCTGCAGACCGCAAGCAGCCCGATTTTCTGCCAGCTCTTGTGGCTCACAGCCTAACAGCTACCCAATGTGCTAGCTCCTAGATGCCGGGTCTCGATGGAGACGAGGCCCATATCCAGGGTCAAAAGTCAAGGGTCGCTAGCTCGAGGAACTTTGCATCGCTCCTGAAACTGAGAGATTGCTACGCGCGTTTGTCCCAAGACACTCGCATCCCTGTTCGAGTTGTCCCCGAGCGCAAGGGTTACGCTCTGGTTGCAAGGGGTGACTCGAGTGTCCCTACTCGAGCGATGACTACGTTTTCTTGAACGACCATTACGTTCCTGTCCTGTGGCATGTGCAAAGCAAGAAATTTGCTTTAGGATGCTTCAAAAGCATTGGGCGATCGAGGTGTGCAAAGACACAGCACGTAGTGTTAGAGTTACTGCGACAGCACTGCTACGAGTCAAATCGCAATGCTTCCCACCTAGCTGCAAAGAGCTCAAGCAAGCCAAAACGTGTGGCCCAGTGGTTAGCTGCCTGTAATCTAATGATGCACTGAACTTTTTGTCCCAGGAATCCTTTTGGCAACCTGATAAGTTGCCCCCGAAAGTAGACAGCACAGGCAGGGCCTCCATGTCGCTTGGAGCTTCACTAGCGGGGCATCCACCACGCTCGCAGGTTGACAACGCAGACGACAGCGACAGGAGGGTCCAGCACGTGCTCGAGGTCGGCCACGGCCAAGCCACCCAAGCTTTAGCGGCCTTAGCGTTTGGGCTTTTGGAATCCTGGAAATTCCAGATTTGATAAAGCTGAGCCCGAAAGGCAATTCAAACAGGTTCCCCGGTTCCCCAGGCTCCGGAGCTCCTTGAGGAAGCAGACGCCAAGACCCCACCCTCAGGAATCCAAACGTGTCCAGACTGCGCCAAGCCAGAGCTGCAGAGGCTTTCAAGAAGTACGACAAGGATGGCGATGGCATGATCAACTTCACTGAGCTTGGGGCCTTGATGCGAGGTTTGGCGGGCTCAGCCAGTGACTGGAACGATGCTGCCGTAAAGGCTCTGCTGACCGCAATGGATTCGGACAATGACGGCAAGGTCAGGTGGGACATGGCGGATATGTTGGGGTGGTGCAGAATCAGAAGAGGGCGCGGTTGCAGTTCTTAGGTGGGGGTTCAGAAGGTGCACTTCTCGACACTGAAGCAGTGGGCACGCCAAGAAGCATGATTCGTCGACCCGCTTGGGCCCATAAGAGCCTAAACCCGTCTTTGTGTTTTGGTTCCGGCCATTTCCGAAGCAGTCACACTGCTCTGGTACAGCACGGTTTGTGAGGCTCAGATCATGACACGTGCAGAGCGGTGCGCGATATTGACTCAGACACGGCGGCCTGCAATGGAAGTGCGCTCAAGCACATCAAGTCGCGCTCAAGACATACGCGAAACCTAGATCAAACACTTGTTCACGAAAGCTAGCTCTTTGGAAATTTGCGATCGTTCTTGTTATATTCTCTTCTTGATTCGCGATCTGGCACAATTGTGCGGTATGCACCTCAAGAATTCCGAGGCGCTTCGAGTGCACATTTGCGACAACGCATCCTCCTTCCAGTCGGCTCAACAACAGAGTTGATGCAAGAATGAAGTGCGCGTTCAGCACGTCCAAGGACACCAAATGTTCGGGACGAAGAATTCTTTGTAGGGCAGTATCTCATCCAGAGGGGTCGAGCCCCTTAGACTTCCAAATCATTGGTGGCAGCCAGAACAGCAGAGCGAGCCTCGAGGCAGTGACTTCTGACCGCTCCATCAGAAGAACGCCCCATTGGCCATGCTAGAAGTTTGCAAAGAGTCACTCGGCTTGCGCAGCCTACAGTTCTCAAAAGCAGGACATGACCCAAGGAGATGCTCAGTCGTGGGAACCTCCAACCCGTAGAGTTCACACAAGCTCTCATCTTTCCGAACTGATGCAGGGCTGGCGAAAGCGCCAGAGAGAAAACCGCAGGCAGCACAGCTGGAAGTTCCCGACTGAACACATGTTCGGGACAGTCTCCGTCACCCCCAACATCCTCTGCCGTCATCAGAAGCAGCACTGCCACCGCCGCCACCGCCACCGCCACCGCCACCGCCACCGCCACCGCCACCGCCACCGCCACCACCACCACCACCACCACCACCACCACCACCACCACCATCGTTGTCATCGTCGTCGTCGTTATCATCATCATCATCATCATCATCATCATCATCATCATCATCATTATCATCGCCCTCATGCCAGCAAGCAGTAATGACCAAACGCATACATGACCACATGACGAGTCACGTAACAAAACAAACAAGAGTCCAAGAGCATGCCAACACTGCAGCAATTGATTGCTTTTCACGTGGAGATCATCTCCTCCTCCTCCTTCCCCCCAGACATGATAATTTAGTAGCAGCTTGTCGATGTGAGAACGGGTTTTTGCACCGTGCGAGGAAGGTAGGCAGAAAGCACCCTGGAAGGATGTTGGGGGGGTGGGGGCCCAAACAGAGGCAGGAGCCTTGGCCAACTTTCCTGTAAAATTCCGTCCGAGCCCATGGGGTGGGTGGCCGGGGGCTACACGGCTACATGTAATTCTCTTGGCCTCCGACGTGTTGGCGAGGCGGATTGGAGGGGGAGTCCTCTAATTTGGGGGCTGGCTGTTTTCACTGCTCTCCTCCCCGTATCCGCTTAGAGAAGGAGGAAGGAGATGGAGAGACAGGGAGACAGTGACGCAGATGGATCCAATTCTACCCCGCAGCTAGGTCGTGCTCTCGGATTTCGGTGCCTGGCTCTTCGGGACGCAGCTGTCAGCGGCGGAGGAGTCGAAGCTGAAAACCGCAGAGTTGACACTGGGCGCCAAGCCGAAAGCCAAGGCTCCTGGGCTTCCAACAAAGCACTTAGACTTATTAGTCCCCCAGACTACAATAAATGTAGCTGATGTCTCAGACTGGTTCCCTCAGCCCTGAGCCAGTCCTGAGCCCCCCCCCCCCCGAGTCTATCTGTCCTAAGTCCGAAGGTCTAAGCCCCTTGGCACTCACAGCCGATTCTGGGTCCTTGTTACAAACGGGGTGAGCAACGACTTTTCGCTGCCAAACATGTATTACATTTATGTCAAAATTACAGAGTTGGGATCACCAGGGCTTGACGGCTTGATGGCTTGGCCTCGTGGTTTGTTAAGGAGGGGGAAGTTGGGACGGCCCCTGCAAGCCTTGCGCTCTGAACTGTTCTGAAGCCGAGGCCAAAGGCAAGGCCGAAGCCAAGGGCAAGGCCAAGGCCAAGGCCAAACCCGAGCCGGAGGAAGAGGAGGCTGAAGACGAAGACGAGGTTGAGGCTGGGATGTCTCGGCTGAGGGGAGGTTTCGGGCTTGCAGAGGGCCAGAACAAGACTCGATTTGCGACAATGTACCGAAATGCACAGGGCGCGATGTGCATATGCCGCGTCGAGGGTGCAAAATGAAGAGCAACATGCACTGACTGCCCCATATTCATTTAGGACTGATGCTGCGGACAGTCGCAACGCGAGTTGTTACGAACAGTCATTTCGACGATGCCGATACGGCCGATACGCAGCGAGAAGCTTTGACCAGCCAAAGCAACGCAAAGGTTAGAACGATTTGCTGGTGACTGCTCAGAGGTGGCTGCAATATTGATTTCGAGTTTTGCTTCAACCCGCTGCCATGCTGCATTGCCAGTAGCAGGAAAAGAAGGATCACATTAAACACAAGATCAAGCCCTACGAACACCTGGCACGAAAGCACCACATACACATCTGATGCGGCATCAACGAACGTGATTTTCCAAAGGCGTATATCGCTCTTGAAGGCAAAGTGTTGTTTCTGTTCAGCCCACAGCCAAAGGATCAGAAGCCCAAACCCGAAGCCCATCTAAGCCCCACAACCTGAACACAACATACATGTCAACCGCCACCACCAAGCCACTTTGGGCAGTGCTGACAAATGGCCGCATCAGGGGAGTCATGGCTTTGGTGGGTTGAGCCTCTTAGAGTCTTAGAGTTCAGGGTTGAGGGTGGGGGAGTGCAGCTCAAGTCTTTGCTACAGCGCTGCTGAGTGGGAGTGGCAACCCCCAAGCCACCCGAATGGAGTTGTTCTTGTTTGGTTCGTCCCTTTGTGTGTAGTATTTCACAGCATTTTTGGTTTTAAATTTAACGCTACGCGACCCGCCTCGGCCAGCCCAGCGCATCCGCGTGAGCATGGTGATTCCGCAGCGCCCAAGTCGCTGGACCCCAAGCAATAAGGGTTGGGTTTAGGGTTTAGGGTTCCGGGTTTATGGTTTATGGTTTGGGGTTTAGGGTTGAGGGTTAGTCTAGGGTTGAGGGCTTAGGGGCTTAGGGCTCAAGGTTCACGGTCTGGGGTTTAGGGTTTTTTTGGGTTTCGGCTTGGATTGATTGTAACACGAATCCTTCCTTACATCTGCGAAAGCATGTCTCGCTCTCCTCCGCGCATGTCTGCCCTTCACCCTGTGCATGCTCGCTTGAAACACATCATGCTACCACTGCGTTTGCAGTTCGGACCGTGCCAACTGCAATGGCTGCCTCGAGAAGCATCAAAGCATGTGTGAGTTTGACAACCGAAGGCGATGGCCTCTTTCGTTCCACCAACATGAATCCCCTCAAGACCCCAAGTCTCCAAACCGCAGCGTGGCTTCAAGCAGCCCAGGGCGGTGAGAGGGCTTTTGTGGCTTCATTGCAACACATTTCAAGCTGCCACTCTTCGAATGGAACATCTGTATGTTGATTTGTGACCCTGTGACTCCAGGATGTAAGGCCATTGTTATTTTGGGGGCTGCCGCATTTAGAGCGGCACTGCAGTTAATCAACAAAAGCACGATTTTGGGATGCAGAGCGACTTCAGAGATGGGGTTCAAAGTGCGCCGCAGAGGAGGGAGAGGACGAGGAGGAAGAAGAGGGCGATGACGACGATCTGGATGAGGCGAGGGCGTTTAGGGTTTAGGGTTTATGGCTCAAAGCAGAAGAGGAGATGATTCTCATGGAAGGGTCCCACAATGATGTCTGAGACAATGGATATGGCCTTCCCCCCGCCCAAAGCCCCCCATACCTGGCCCATACCCAACAACATAGCTGGCGCGAAGTGCTAAGTCCTTTGAAGAGTCCTTCGGGCTGGCCTCCCATTCTCCAAAACTATTTTTCGAGTGCAAATCAAAGCGGTGAGTCTTCCCCTCACTTTTCTTCATCTTCAACTTCATTCGCTTCGCCTCTGCATCAGGTCTCCAATCAGGGATGGATTGTTGTGCTTCCGGGAAGGATCGTATAGGGAGCATCTCAATGCAGCTGCGCAGCAAGTTGCTAGGCGTAAACTGTAAACGGATGGCTCAGAAGACCGCCTGTAAGAAAAATCCACCACCGCTATGAGAGTCGAGCAGGAGCAGCTCAGCCATGCCGGTAACAGTAGAGCTTTAGAGCTTTACAGGTGCAAGGCTCTGAGGGGGCACTGAATCTAGCGGGTCTATCAGTACTACGAGTTGCTCTTGTTAGCAGCGCGAGCCAAGCACCAGCCACAGTAATTGATGACCCCGCGCTGGATCCTTTATTCTTCAATTTCAGAAGTATTGCGTGTATACAGGCACATGTGCATGACATCCGCATTACCCGGCCTTGTGCAGGATGATCTTGATATGAACTTGCTCAGCATGACCGGCCGCAATGCCCTGTGGCAGAAGCTGATGCCGGCACGGGCCGGATCGGCGCAAGACGCGGCAGAGCGGATGAAGGGACTGAAGCCGCCGGACTCAAAGCGGCCGGACGATCACAAGCATCTGGGTGGAGGAATATGAGTTTTTTTGTTTCTGTGGAGTAGTAGCACCAATCAGCGTGCGTGCTTTGTGCTTGTGTCTTCGTGCTTTTGCACGCAGCAATGCTCGGCGGTGCTCGAAACACTTTGCTCTTCAAACGCTTGAGGCATGCCCTCCTCTATTTGCAGAACCACGCGGGAGCCGACCGGGATCTGGACGGCGTCGCCCCCAAGGGCGCGGATCGGAAGAAGGCGTTGGCGTGGCTGAAAGCCGCCATGTCCAAGATCAGTGACGGGGAGAAGCAGTATCAGCTGCCTGTGAAATGGCTCATCGCAAACTGGAGACTTTGGCCAGAGCCTGACAACAAAGAGGAGGAAGGTTTCCTGGATCTGAAGGCGCTCGCGGTTAAGAAGCTTGACGGTATAGGCTTCAAGTACGAGAAGCAGTACGTAGAGCGCAAGATCGGGCAAGAGCTCGGATTCATCGGCGAAGATCTCGAGATGAAAGTGAGGCCGCGGCAGGACGAGTACATCAAGCTGCCGGAGGACCGCCTGGGCCTCGAGGAACAGGACGATGAAGCAGACGACTACAGGATGCCCGGCGCTTTGGGAGAAGCCCTCTATTACCCCTTCTGGTATGTAATCCCTTCTTCTCGTCACGCTCTTTCTACTCTCAGACCCAAGCAAAGGATGGAACAGGCGACGTACATCGTCCTCCTCCTCAGCGCAGTGCACGCTGTGGACCACCTTTTCCAAGCACGAGCCAAGGAGATCTGTGAGAGTGTGGGTGGGAGCGTCCGAGCTCCCCCTCCCAAAGGCTTCATGAGGAGAGGGTTCAGATGGGTTCAGATGGGTTCAGATAAGTTCAGATGGGTTCAGATGGGTTCAGATGGGTTCAGGCTGAAGAGGGGCTTTAGGGTGCAGAGGGCATCGGCCACATCAACGTAACGTGAACAGTTAGCCTGGCGAGCTCCTCTTTGGCGCGCCGCTGGGCTGCTGCCGCTTGGAACCCTGAACCATGTGACGTGCCCCTTACCAAAGAGAGCAGTGACCCTAAACCCGAGAAGATCTGAATCCCCAAAGTTGAGTGAACAACACCCTTCAGAGCCCTAGCCTGAATCCCCAATGTGTCGTGAGTGGCGAACTCTGCACCCCCAAAATCCCGAAGGCCTGAAAGTGACAGATGTCAGACCCCCGAAAGAGTGTCGTATCCCAGAAACCTACGGAACCTGGCTGAAGATTAGCAGGCCCGAAGCCCTCAACGGCCTCAACGCAAACGTCTGGCGAGTGGCAGAGAGCCCAAAGAGCACGGAGGGGTGAGTGGCACGCCGAGCCCTGAAGGTAGATAATCGCCCCCAAAAGGTGTGCTCCCTTTTTGCCCTTAAGAAGACCCAAATTTTTCCAAGCATAAGCCTTAGAAGGTCGGGCGAATCCCCAGCTTGTGACGACCGGCAAACCCTGAAGCCCGAATGAGGGAGACAGGCTCAGAACTCAGAACTCAGTGGCCCCAAAACCATGTTCTCTTCACCGAGAAGCCCAGAGCTCCAAACCGCATAAACTCATATAAACTCCAAACGCGAAATAAAGTTCAAAGAGTTGTTAGTTGTTAGACCCAAAGCCCCCTGCACAGGATGTGGGCGAAGCTTGACACAGACCACGCCTCCGCGGCATCCCCGAAGGCGGCAGAGAACATCGACACGAACCGGGTGGCCTGGATCTTCGAGGAGCGGTTTTGAAGGGAGTCGAGGCTCAGTAGAGGGGTATGCTTCGCAGTTGCTGAAGTTCTATGCGCTGTAAGCGTAGAAGCTCTCCCCCTTGTCCACGTGATGTCGTCTGCCTTAGGATGATTTCGTGACCTCGGTGCGACCTCGCCTGGGTGTCGTCATCTTGTCTGTCCCTTCCGGACCCTATTCAGGGCTTGCTGCACATGACCGCTTGCCCATGTCCGGGGCGCCTTTGATTCACGGGGAATGGCGGGTTGCCTCCGGTCTGGACTCGGACAGCGTTCTGCCACTGCATGAAAAAGGGTACGTAGCGGACTGTGACTGGGTGAGCATATTCATTCATGCACAGACTAGCGCGACAGGTGCTTGGAAAGGGATGTGATCTTCACCCGAACTATGGGCCAGTTCAGGCTTCGTGCAGGTGGTGAGGTTCTGCTTCGAGGTTGTGAGTTTGCTCTGGATGCGTTCCTGATCTCTCTTCCAGTGGCACGAGGTTTGCCGGTTTGCCGGTTTGCCGACTAAGGTCAGTTTGACACAGTCCAGTTTTGCATGAGATTTGCTGACTTGTTGACTAATGTTCAAACATACTTGGACGCTTGGAGGTGCCTTTCTCACTGCCAGACCCGGCGCAAAAAAGCACAAAGGTTATGCAGTGATGCATTGTTATGCGTGGTTAGGGGTTTGTCGTTTTTTGAGCGCGCTGTGATCAAGGGTTGCAACAATTTCTGTCCGACCGCGCTTCTTTGCGCAACTGGTGCCGTGCAGCCCATCACGAACAGTCGGCTGCCCATTTGCCATCAACAGGTTCGTACTCACATCCACGAAGCCACGCCGTGCTATCCGAATCATCGTGGCGATTCTGGCAACAAGTAAATACTAAGTCTTGCCTGATAAAACGGGAGCCCTTGAGGATGATTTCCTTGTATCCGTCATTGCCAGGAGCCCTCGCAGCTTCGGGACGCCTTCGCCAAGGCACAGGAAATTTTCGGCCCACCCGTGAGGGTGAAGAATGGCTATGACCCCTCTTTCGATGCCATGAAGGACCGAGGGGCCAGCGCTTCACTTTGACATTGTTTGCTAGATTCTGCTAGATGGCTAGTAGCACAGTGAAGAATCCTGGTAGTGATGGTGAGCTGATTGCAAATGCTCCTTTCGCGAAAATCGACCGTTACATCTCGTAGCGTTATTTCAATTATTTCTGTTGTTTTTCTTCAACTTTGGGCTCTATACTGCAAGCTCGGCTTCATCCTCATGGCCCGAAGGACACCAAGGGATATCGGAATATCTTGGCGAACTACCGCTTCACCCCTGGCATGACTTGGGGAGCTTTAGCTGGTCGTGATCCAGCACATGCTGATGCATCTGCCAAGACTCACGCTGCCTGGGACAAGTTTCGGTGGTGGGCTTAGTTTGAAATGGAAGCTGAGACATGCCGGGAATAAAAGCGATGTAAACGAGCATGGTCATGTCTCGAGGTGGGGTAGATCAGATCTGGCCTCCAAGTGCATCATCCTAGTGGGATCTAATGGGGTGCCAGGGGCCAATACTCAGGAGGTATCAAGATCAAGAATCTAATAATGCTGAGGCAACTGCTCCTGGACACCTTCCTGAACATGGGCTTCATAGATGAGGCCAGCATGGATGAGGAGCTGCGGCAGTACCTTCATTGCAGCGATGCTGCCCGACGCTTCTACTGCTCGAAGCAGATGCGGAAGGAGCCGGTGGGCATTGTCGTGGAGATTCAGTACATGTTGCAGTCCTACTTTGACATGCGCAAGTATACGCACACATGGTACAAAATTGTGAGGGCTGAAGAGCCCGAGGCCCTCGTCTTGGATTACAACTCTTAGCAAGCCCCGGAATCCTGGGGTGGTTAATTTCCTTGCTGGTGCCCTGTTGGACCATTAGTCTCAAGTATTGATACCATTCCTTTTCTCGGTTTTCCAACCTCAAAATGATGCAGACACAGGTGCCAGGCAAGTGTTACGACTGTTACGATGCTGCCCAAGGCAGCATCTTGGACGTGACGCAAGTTTAGACGCATTCCTGCAGTGTAAGAGCTTGGATCAGGGACAATCCTTCCTCAACATTCCATTATGCGTTTAATGCTTTGCCGTATCTCAAAGCCCTGCTCTCCTGATTCGGGTCCTTGCATGCTGCATCGAGTGCAGCTGGGGACATCCAGAGGAAGTCCCGAGCACTTCGCGCTTGCGCCGGGTGCCTTCAGCGCCCTGGCCAGCTCTGCACCACAGACCGTGCCTGGCAAGCCAAACCGATCCACGAGTGGAGGGTGGGGAGTCGTGTGTAGAAGCATCTGCAGACTGGAGATGCAAGGCACCTCGAAGGCCGTGCCGCTCCTATACTACAAGCAACACGGGCATCGGGTGGTGTAAGGACCCTCATGAAAAGCTCGCAATAGGAATGGATTCATTTCTTACCCCAAAATTCGAGTGCAATTCTGCAAGTTACTTGGTTGGACATTGATGATCTTTGTGAGACCTTTGCATTCCTCTGAGTTCTTCTTGCATGCATCAGCCTCCTTTCTCCTTGTCCCTTCCTCACCCCTTGTTTCCTTCAGCTTGGCTTGAGTGACAAATTCACTAACAAATATGCCTTCGACCAAGCCAAAAAAGGCACACCTTGGGCCCAGCGCCAGGAGAAGAAGAAGAAGTTGACTGCTGCCTCACGCACCCAGCTCTCCCCAGGGGCTCCATGCATAACAATCCCCAAGAAGGCATCCAGCCAAGATGTGACAACTCTGGGGTATAAAAATGCTGGCCTTTTCGACTAGAAGGAGGTGGCCGAGTTCCTGGGTTTTCCAGAGTCAGCTGCCCTCCTGCAGCAAGTGTGCCAGGGAACAAAATGGAGAAGGATGGTAGCAAGAACATAGCTGGGATTCAGCAGTTCACATGTGCCTTACAAGGGGCCAGGGGTTGGGCACCAACTCGCTGCTGGCTGTGGCAAATTTGATTGCCATGGGCCTCCATCACCAAGCAGCCACCCTGCAAGCCCCAAACACATAACCTGTGCTTGGCAGGAAAAGGAGCGTGAGCTTTCAAAGACCATCAAGAAGCTCAGAGAGATGTATGTGGTGCTCCTGGCATTTGAGCTGCCGAAACAACAAGGGCTGCAGCAGGTGGCATTGTTGGAAGTGCGCAATGCAGTACTGAGAGCTCAAGAAACATGGTGATGATCTTCATCGACCACAGGACGTACGTGTGGCATTGGTCCTTGAGTCTTGACAGCTTTGATGCATCAATTGGTGCAGTTGGGTATGGACTGTGGTGTGATTGCACTGGAAGAACTGACGAGGACTTTGCAGCTACCCAAACCTTTCACAATGGTGAATCACAACAATCACTGGGTACTTATGTGGCTTACAAAGGTCCATGCCAGGGGGGTTACGTTCTTCCCCATGCGCCTCCCGCTGCCTTGAGATAGTTTGGACAAATGTCATCGAACTGATCTCTTAGAAAATTAACGTTAGTTACACCAACGAAAACAACGCAATATCTCGACCTCGGGATGACTGAGATTGTCAGCCCAAAGCCAAAACAAAAACTCTCAACAAAAATAGTTCTGAGACCTGATCTTCGACCCGTGCTGTTGGCTCCAGGATGGTCTGGGTAGTCGCTCCGCCCCATGCTGAAAAAGTGAAAAAAAAAGTGATTTGAGAAGAGTGGCGTCACTCCCAGACAGCGCAGCCCTAGACTCTAGGCGCATCTAGGCACGTCTAGGAACGTCTAGCCAGCCCTGTGCCTCCATCGCCTGTTGAGCCGCCGAAGCGGGAGGTGGATCAGCAGCGAGTTCTATTTTGCGAGCATCCCTGGTCCACTTGAGGATGGCAGATCCACGTGGCTACTATGCTGTCCTGGGCGTGTGAAACCTACTGACTCCTTCTCAATGTCATAGCCTTTAATCTGTAAGTCCCAGCTTGTGATTGCGTAAGGTGGCAAAGGATGCGAGCGAGGCGGATGTGAAGAAGGCATATCGCAAGGAGGGCCACCAGTCACGGTAAAACAACATCTGTGGAACGTTTGCTGAAAAGAGACATGTCTCTGAAGGAAGCCTTGAAGTGGCATCCAGACAAGAATCCCGACAACAAGGCGCCTAGTCAGATTGGTCGAAAAGTTCTACCATGTCGGCTCCCAACTGCAAATCCGCAAATCGCAGCAAGAATCGTGCCATCTTAGTGTCATCTTGGACCACCACGGTCGCCCATGAGTGGGGACACTGCACGGTAGCTGAAATCCATGGTAAGTCACAGTTTCACTTTCTGGCCATTTCTGCTCCTTCGAGGAAGAAGCTGAGAAGAAATTCAAAGCCGTGGCCGAGGCGGCTTCCATTTGCTGCCCAAGTAAGACCCACATCACGAATCACAGCCCAAATCCTACCATGTCGAGTCTCGTCAAGCCCGCCCAAAACGAGTCCAGGCCTATGAGGTCCTGTCAGACGCGGGGAAGAGAGCCGCCTACGACCGTGGCGAGGTTCGTTCTGCGGTTTTTTGAAGTTCTTAGAAGTTCTAGGGCTTTGCCAAGAGGCCGCCCCCCCCCCCCCCAATGCATGAACCATAGCATGATACCGGTTACGAAGGCGCGGGACGTTTGAACTTGTAGCTTCCACCTGTAGATTCCCGATGTTGTGTCTGTTGATTTGCTGTTATCTGCACGGAGCCGCAGAGGGGTCAAATCAGGCAATGTTCAGGACTCTTTGCTGGCAATATCTTGCCCACTTCTTGTGCCAATGCTTTGTTCCGGTCCAAGGCTTTCGAAGGAAACGGAGGTGGATTCCATGCCGGATTCGGTGCGGCACTCGTCTGGAATTCTCTTGATACGATGTCATGTGTCTTCATGCTGTGAGGAAGAGCACAGTAAGAACGGACTCTCCCTGCTGTGGCAACTCCCCATTTGGTATGTTATCTCTTTGCACCCTTCTCGCAGGCGACGCTTTCAGTGTCTTCGAGAAGGCTCTTGAGCAATGCCAAGTTCTTTCGGGGGGGTGTGGGAACTGGACAGATGGACAACGGGCAGGAGGGTACGAGTTTCCAGCCCTGACTAGGAATAAACATGACGTTTCTTGAGCCCTAGCGGCCACTCCTGGCGCCCACAAGTCTTTCGAGTTCTGCCAGTTCTTTGGGGGCCGCGACCCTTTCGCCGAGATGGACCGGAGCCCCATCTGCAACCCAAGTCTAACAGTCAACGTTGATGTGGTGCTGCTCGTATTGAATCATGTGCAACTCGTTTTCGGAGTTTGAACTTACTTGAAAGCAGGGGCGGTATGTTTTCCTTCGTCACCTGCAGCCCCAAACTCAAATCCTTCTGACCCACTTAGTGACTCAGTACTTGCCCGTTGCCAAGGATGTTCGCAGAGATGCATGGGGCCCCCAGGCTCGTCGGTGAGTGTGCTTCGGAACTCTTTACGAACAGTGGCTGGCAGCTGGAAGAATGATTTTGCAAGCAAGCACTGTGATCGGGGTTCTATCCCAAGTAAGATTTTCACGACTTCTCACAGGATCTTGGCTGACGATTGCTAAGTCACCCTTCGTTGAACTGCTTGGTCTGCGCATGTATGTGACAGGCCCTTGTTCCCTCCACTGCATCAATGGGCTTGAGCTTGAATTCTAGCCTGCAGTATACTGGAAGCTGGCGCGACAAGTCGTTGTTTCGTTTGCTTTCTCAGTGGTACTACCAGTGGACCTCCCCCTGTCTCAAGGACCTCACACCCACCATGCCCTGTGGCGCAACGTGTTCACAATGAAGAAACGGCCAGGGCGATTAACTATTCACACCGCAAGCGTTCTTCTGCCCAGGTTTTAGCAAATGGATAAATCGCATCCTACGCCCCATGCATTGTCCAGATTGCCAACCCTTTCAAAGTTCTCCACCAGGACTTGCGCTGGTCACCCTAATTGGAAGGTTTGCTTGAACTACATGCATATAAGCTGCTCGGGTGATGATTATGGTGGTGGTCATGATGTTCTCGCCGTTTTTAGCCAACAAGCAGAGAAGGCTTTCGTGTTGGCAAGGGGACTTTTGGCAAGCCGCAAGCCCGAATAAATCGAAAGCATGGCAAAGAGGCCGGGTGGCGGCGCAGCTCGCGGTGGTGCGAGATCCAGCTTCGGCACGCCCTGCAACGCTTGCAAACTTTCCAAGTGCATGTGTGAGGAAGGAAAATGTACTGCTCACGCCCGCCGCCTCGGCCTTGCCCGGCGTTTATGGTTTGTGACAGTCGAGAGGCCGTATAAGATCTCGTTGCTGCGGTCTTTTCAGGAGAAGCGAGATGGCCCGGGTTGAATGCACACTCCAGGGGGGGGTCCATAGGGGCCATGGAGATCCATGGGCCTTTGACCCTGCTAGGTGTCCGCTACGTCGACAGACCCTGAACATCCGCGAGACTCCAAGAAACTCCATGGTTAAGGGAGAGGTTTGGCATTAGTGGAGCCTCCTTACGTTTCACCGGTGAGGAGGGTGGGCGAATGGGGCGCATGGCAGGGCCGCTTTAGATCGGGAGAAAGTTGTTGGTGAAGGTTCGACAGGATGGAAGGGGTCGAAGGTCCAGCGCGTCCACAGCAAGCCAAGTGGTGCATAGGGAACAAGAGCTCTCTGAGTTACCCGCCTTGGGCCTGGGGCTTCCACGTATCAACCACGTAGGCCCAGACGTCACTACCGGTTTGGACATCACCGATTCTATACATGCATGCATGCATGCAGAGAGGCGGGTAGGGGGGGGGTCACCACCTTTTGCATTTTTTCAAGCGATTTCACTCTTTCTTTCTTTGTCAATTTTCTTAATTGAAAATGGCGAGCACATGAATTGCAAAGCAACTTCATTTGCATTTCTTTTGTGATTT